TGTCTCCTTCTCTCCCTGAGCTTGGCAGGTATCAGAATTCAACCCTGAGCAAATCTTAATATAGTCACATTTGTGTGTTTCCTCTTGAATAAATACACAGTCTATTTATTTGTTGATTTATTTCAGTTTTCATAGTTCCCAGAAGGAAAAGACCCTGGGAGGTTACACATATAAAACACATTTCAAACAATGGTTAACATATCAACTCATCCCCACGTTGAATGCAAATAACAAACTTGGGTTGAAGGCTTGGTGAAATTAAACTCTCTTCAGTGGTTTTCTAAAGGCCACGAGGGAAAAATGTACTTTTTTACCTGGTGTCTTCAAATGCCAAAAGAAAGCAGGAAAAAGGAGCCTTCTCAAATGTCAGCACTATTTATTTATTTAGTTTTAGCATTTATACTCTCAACACTGAAGGCAATTCACCAGGGAGGGTGGAGGCGTCTTCCCTTATTTCATTCTCTTGGAGGTAAGTGTTGTGGACCGCCAGCTGCCAGCAGAGCTGCCAGCAGATTCAGACGATGAGGAGATTGGGGAAGGACTTGGGCCAGTTCTGGAGCCTGGGGAAGGCTCCGATGGATGCTCAGCGTCAGACACAGAGATAGAGCCAGGGCCGTCTGGCGTTTCCCAACTGGAGAGGCAAGCTGCCTTTGGAGTCAGAGATGAGTGAGGAGGAGGAACAGCTGGGGCCTATTCCAGATGCGCATATGCACAGAGCAGATAGGAGAGATGAACAACGGAGGACAGTGAAGGGAAGCAAAACAATATGGATGCTGGACTGGCCCTTCCTTGGCTGGGGAATAAATAGGAGGAAAGGGGAGTGGTTTGGTTGTCACAGACCACCACATTTCTGGAAAGTTTGCTCCTGTGACAAAGACTGCTTTGCCAGAAGTGAGGGTTGTCTATTTCTCTGTTTGAACTGACTTAATTTGCAGCCTCCCAGCTGGGAGCTCACAACCTTCCATTTATCATAATGAGCTAATAAGGACTATTGTTTCAGTGAACTTCTCGCAGGACTATCTGTTGGTGAATGCAGTTAATTCCCAATGTGTAAATAAAGAGGGGGTTTTCTTTGTGGGGAATGTGTTTCTTGCTTCTGCGAAGGCCAGGTCAGAACAGTAAGATGGGCTCTTAATTGTTCCTAAACTCGCTGGTCAAGTGGAGACTTAAACTTGAGCCTCCTCAAAGTTCAACTTCTTAACCACAGCAGAATAACCTTTTATTTTCATCTGATACACTTTGGATGTATTAGATTACATTTCCCAGAATCCTCAACCAAAGAAAACTTAGTTATCAACATACCAAAACCTAGAGAAGCAGAAAAAGATTAATCTCGGAACATTGCTGGATTCAATTTACAGCATAAATTTACAACATTTTGCTTTTCATTGGGATCATCCAGAAACCTCCAAGACACTTAAAGCATACAATGGTCATTATGGCTAATCACCATCAACTGACTTCTGAGCCATGAAGATACTTGTTTTCAAAAAAAAATATCAAACCTTTGTGGTAGCAATTCTCATATGTGACGCTTACCCTAGGTAATGAAGGCAGTGCAATGCCATGCAAGACATATCAAGAGAAAGATCTAGGGAACTGCCAATTTCGCACCACAATCAGAGCGGACAATTTGAGTCTCGGGTTGTTGGAAGAGCCTAAGTTCCCTATAAGCACTTTGCACCAAAGTGGTAGTGTTTGCTGCTAGAGATGGGAAAGTACATGAACCTTGTAGCTTAAATCCTGTAACAGAATTTCTCTTCCTCAAAGCATAGGAAAACTGAGCCCTTCTATGTGTGAGAAACAGCCACGCTCACTTTGCATCACTGCCGACTTACCTTTCCTCCTTCTTAAATGTTAAGTGGAACATCTGGTTTCCATAAAACTACATTTCCTTGACTTCAACTGTTGGCATTTATCCTTAGAATCAAGAATCGTTATGTGTGGACAGCAGTTTTCTACATGGCAGATCAGCATTACCCATGGACTCTTAGAGTCATCATCCTGATCCAAGGTATGTGAATCAAGTAATATCCATTTAGATGGCCCAAAGCCATGTACTTAACTCACAATTTACCATTCCGATTTATTGTGGCATAACTTGCTGCAACAGAATTATTTTATATCTTTGGGAAGTTTTATCTCACGAAAACACTCAGGGCTGCAATAAAAATCAATTTTGCTCAAACATTCATGGAATTTGGGAAGGGAGATAGCTGATCCTTTCTTTTGGAGGAATATGCCAATGTTTAATATTAATCTACATCCTTGTAAGTCATCAAGTCTTCTCTCAAATAATTTAATTGCCATTGTCAGTGAGAGACTCTGTTTTTAGGATTCTGAAGATGTTTCTTATCTTGTTCTTAAAATAAACCTCTTTTTTAAAAAAGAAAAGAAAAAGAAGTGCGCTATTATTTTTCTATCACAGACTAGAAAAGTGACTCAGCTCTCCGAACTTCTGAAAATGTTGTCTAGCTGGGGAATTTCTCATCAGATAGTTGTCAGCTGTCATGGCATTAAGCACAGCAAATCGCTAGACATAGTTAGCAAAGATCGGAGTGCAGCTTGTCGTTGTTACCAGGTGTAGAGTCTCTTTGGAAACCTAAGCCAGTTTCCTTTGAATTCCATTTTTCTTCACACGAGCAAGAAAGTGGAGGGCCGGGGTGACTGAGCACGCACCTCCCTGGATGACATTGGAGAAGGTTGGAAATACCTACCAAAGGCAAGGGGATTGATGAAAGCAGGAGGCTCTATGGGCACCGCAGCGGTAACCTAAACAACACAGGTACCCCGAAACATTGAAAGACGTCCCAGTGTGGCAGTAGAGGTGGGGAGGAGGAAGAATGCAAGACAGGGAAAAGGGTGCATGCCTCCTCCCTCCTGCCATCGTGTGGCGTCCCTCCCCCTGCCGTCATCCCTGTGGGAACTGTGCATAAGCAACTCTGGGAACGCAGACAAGAACTTCCTTTCTGCTGCTGCCTCCCCCTGCACATCCACGAAGGTCCTGATCCCACCACTTCCCCACAAGTGTCCCAGGCCCTTCCTGCCGTCTCTCCTGCACCGCCTTCTCTCCCGGTTTGCTTCAACTCCTGCTCTGACACCCCAATAAGGCGAGATAGCTGGGCACACGGGTGCATCACAGGCACAGCTAATTTGCTTGCACAGGAAATCGGCCGTGGAGATTTGTCCCGCAGCACAACTAGGCAGTCGGGGAGGGCCAGTGGGGGAATAATAGTGGCAGAGAAGCACCAGGAGAGGGGCAGTCAGGGATGAACACTCATGGTGGGTCAACTGGGGTGGGGTGAGGGCTGAGGTGAAGTGGGCACAACCAATTGTCCCATTCCCCATTCCACCCTGAGGCACCCCATGCTCTACTTAACAACCTGTATATTTGTTTAATAAATGCACTGGAGACAGCAGATGGCCATTTGTTAATTGAGGTAGTTCATTTATTTGTCCAATCCTAATGGGCGGGATCCCTTACAGTCATTACTTGAGGTCCACAGCAATAGAATTAGTAATAAATGTAATCCATCTGGTCCTGGTATGTTGAACTCATCTAGACTACACAGATGTTCTCTTACCATTTTGTTGTCTATTTTAATTTGTATTCCTGTTTGTTTACAATTCTGTTTGTGGTAAGTTGGGCTATTTTTTCTCCTTTTGTGTGAAGACAGATGCCAAGAACGAATTAAGCAGCTCTGCTTTCTCCCTGCGGCCTGTCACTTCCTGGCTATCTCCTCCCATTAATGGACCGATTGATTCCTTAACTTTCTTCTTCTCTTTTACATATTGGGGGGAAAAAATTGTTTTAGCCTGGGATGGTTTGCATCTATCTTCAAATCACAGATCATCTTCAGATCACTACCCCCAGCAGTTTTGAGAAGCTGTGTTGAGAAGCTATGTTGAAAAATCTTACTCAAGCTTAGTACAATCATTTTGATCTCTTAAACTTAACTGTACGATATATGGTTAAGTCTTCTTTAATCATTGCTACCTGATATAACTGCTTATGGAACTAACCAAAGATTTGCTGTTTTGTTCCCCTCCCTATAGCTTGGCTTGTCATATCTTTCATTTCAAATTCTAGAGTATATTTTCTATTTGGGTCATATATACTTACCACTAAGAATCTTTTAAAAAAGGGAATTAAAAAGCATTTCATTTTACTTTCTGTATCTCTTATAATCTATTGACCAGAGAAGGCTTTTATGATAATTCTAAATTTGGTCAAGAAGTGATAAAAATGAGCAACATTTTAGATTAGTGCTTTTCAAACTGCAATCTGGAAATTGGCAATGTCTTAAAGTTGCCAAGTTTGAAAAACACTGTTTTAGATTAACTGGATACAAGATTTCACATGAAATTAGATGCAACTTGGAGCAAGAAAGCTTTTATGAAATCAATTATGAAATAATTAATTATTCAAAGTGTAAGGAATAAATGGGAATTTTTGCAGCTTTTAGTTTACATTAACATTCAGCTCACCAGAGAAAAAAATTCTAATGGACACATTCAGAAATTGCCTTTTTTATTTCAATAGTAACACAACTGTAAAACAGAAAAAAATGGAATGTAAAGAAACTGTTTTGGGAAATTTCTTAAGAATAAGCAATAAGGAAACATTACTGCATTAGTTGTTATTTGGCAAATATAAATAAGAGAAATATTTAGTACTTAAGTGTTTGGCAACTTTCTTTAAAAAAAAACACTTTTTCATTGTCTGGTTTAATCAAAGAAGTTATGAAGTGTTTCAAAATTCTGAATATACCTATCCTAATAGTATCAAATTGTACCTAGGTTGGCAATTTCAACATTTGAAGTAGAAGTTACTATTTATAGTATTATTTAGGTATTCTGAATAAGTTGATTATTCCTCACACTATTCAGAGAAGCATTTTTCCAATAAGATAGTGTTTTCAGGACCTTTAATATATTTAAAAGTGTAAGATTTTGTATTACATAGGATTATATGCTATTGATGCTATATGTATTTGCTTTTCCAGAAGAAATCCCTTTCATGCTTTAAAAACGCACCTTAATTTCATATTATTCAGTGTAACATGTATAATATTAAAGAAAGTACCAAACAGGTTATGTGTCAAAAAAGAGCGCTACACATTACAAGGCAATTACACATTTTTGACAGAAAAGTAAAAGGCAATTCACAATCATTTCCAAGATATCTGTGAGATTTAAGGCCATTTGTTCTACTGTAAAATTTTGACACAAATACCCAGAAAAATGTGAATTTCTTGTAAAAACTGTACATGCAAAAACACTGGATAATTGAGATAAGAACAGGCATATCATAAAACACTTGAGTAGTTCTATACACAAAGTTGTGCACAAAACAATACAATTGTGCAGTTTTAATCAAGTTAAATAAGATTCACGACTTATTGTGCCCTCCATAGCAATATGACTGTGTCTTAGCCAACTCAAAATGAGCCAGCCCCACTCTGAATAGCCAACCTAGACAAACCTCATAGCAACTGTCAATCATAGTAAAATATTCACCTTCAGAAAGCAATATAATGCCAAAGGTCTATTGTTATTCAATGCAAGATACTTTACAGATTTCACACCTTACACGAGGAAACACAGGGCTCAAAAGTTCTTAGAAGTGCATGATACGGTTGTTATCATTTATTATGCCAGCATAATCAATCTTAAAAAATGTAAACACAAGTTATTTTAGGATTAGAGTATCTTGCAAAAATACATTTTCTTACACTATTCACATCTTGGAAGCTTATTCTCAGATATATCAGGTTGATACTTTGCTGAGCTATTCAATGAGGTGTTTCCATTATTGAGACCTATGAATGCATTTGTCCCCACTTTCTATTTTTAGCTTTGCACCTAATTCGTCTGGACAATCATTCAAAGAGATATTGCTTCTCTTGTGGATTTTTACTATTGCAAGATAGAAGACAAATGTTTAAGAATAACTACGTATAAAAAGTTGTTAAATTTCAAAAGTAAACAGTAACATGTAAACAGTGATACAGAGGGTTTGCATTCACATTATATACATGTACGTATTAGGTCAGAAAGACAAAGACTTCTGAATGGAACCCGTGGTCTTGTGCTTTCTCCAATCGTGCCTCCCTCCCCCGGCCCCGTATTAATAGGCATTTTCTGTTAGAAACAGTAACACTTAGAAACAACTTCACCATTTTGCTTCTGGTAAATAAAAGCTGTTCAGTTGCACGTGCAACAAGTTTGAACATTTTGGTATACAAAGTTAACTTATTTTTCTTTTTCTTTTCCCAAGCCCACGAGGAAATTCTACTCACTGCATACAAAGAGCTTGCTGGCTCTTAAAGTGCATCACTGTACTGGAAAACTCTTTCTTGGCAGCACTGTCTAATTTTGAAAAGTATTCAATATTCAAAGTGCTCATATCTGAGTCTGTACCACGTGAATAGGTGGTGTGTACGGAGGTGGTGCCGGAGATGGCTTGATTCCTCTGACCCTCATGTAGGAAAGAAACTGGTCCGGGACCTCAGCTAAGACATCTCTTGCAAGTCGGGCCATACTTAATATGTGGTTTCCAGTTCTGTCAATATAATCCCGAAATGGTACAAACTGAAATGAAACAGGGGGGGGGGAGCTTAAGTGTTGCTTTTGGGGTGTCATACAGAATGAAATCTAAAGCAGGAAATAAAATACTTTGAGACGAATGCAGGGAAAAGCAACACGAAACAAAATAATCATCATCAAAACCACAGTAATAATGTACTTTAAAACAGGGGTCCCCAACCACCGGTCCCTGGACCAGTATCGGTCCGTGGATCATTTTTTACCAGGCCGCAAAGCTTGGGCGCCGCCATCTTGTTTCGACAGCGCTTCCGGGTTTTCGGTTGCTTCCGGGTTTTTGGTTGGAAAGTGCTTCCGGTTTTTCAGTTGGAAAGCGGCGTTTGGGTGCTCGCGCCTTAGTTTCGTCGAAGGGGGGGCGGCTTCGAACAAAGAGCTGTCCCGATGGCGGTAGAGTCTCACATTACTCAGGTACTGGTCCGTGGAAGAATAAATAATTGTGAAACCAGTCCCTGGTTCGAAAAAGGTTGGGGGCCACTGCTTTAAAAGACCATTTAGAAAAAGTTACTTCTCACCAAAGATCTGATCAAATACAAACACACAAATACCACCAGCAGCAAAACAATACGGATCACAGATTTCACATGATGCCATAAAATAACCCAGGCTTGTTTCTCTACTTATCATGTTCACTTATCTGATTATGAGCCCAATAAAGTACTTTGTGGATGTGTGAAGATGTACTGTGGTTGGTGAAGTTGGAAGTTTCCCATTTTTTTTACTGTCATTTGTGAGCCACCTATGGCGATTTTGCTTAAAGCAGTGGCTATAGAAATCTTTTAAATGAATCAATACATTGATATTTTTGTCTTACCTGTACTATATCTCTTTCTGCATAAACTCCTCTTGATGAAACTCTTATTTCATCACCATCCAATTCTTCCATGGCTTAAAAGAAAAAAAAAATATTCCCATTATTTCGCTGTCTGAAATTAATCAATGCAGCCAACCTGATATGAAATGTGTGGCTTTCCTATATAAATAATCTATATAGTGCCATTGCTAAACTGGGCATGGGCGTGGCCAGCGCGTGACGCATTCAGCCTGTGGGCGGGGACTTTGACAGCCCCGGTCTAAATAATCCATTTCATCCAGGAACCTCTGGAGCTGTTGCAGGGGAGCATTAATCACACCAGGACCCACCAGCATGTCACGTACTGGGAAGCTTTCCAAAACCAGGAAGGGCATGGATCTAAAACACAGGGGTGTGTGTGCTAGTATTCTCTAGGTTCCTGTTCACTTCCTCAGGAGCAGCAGGCCAAACCGTTCCCAGATAACAGGGCAAAGACCTGCCCCTGATGCCTCCACTGGACCAACAACCATGCTGGCATCTAAATCATTTATGAAGATGCTAAAGAGTACTGGGCCTAAGACAGAAACTTGGGATATCCCACTGCATACTTGCTTCCAGGTAGATGTAGTTCCATTAAGCAGTACAGATTGGGTGTAGTTGCTAAGTCAGTTGTGAAGCTGTCTGGTGGTGATGATATCTAACCTACATTTTTGTATCTTACCAAGTAATAGGTTGTGGTCTACTTTGTCAAATGCCTCAGTGAAGTACAAAAGTATTATGTTCACAGCATTTTTTCTGGTCTGCTAACTAATCACTTTGTCAAATAATTTATTATATGAAAGATATAACAAACTATTAAACAAAAAAGTACAGAATTTGTCCCACTGATTTGTGTAAGACTTCTCTTTAGATAACAGGAACTGTATTAAGTGAAGTCCTCACCATCAAATTCCGCAGGTCCAACACCCACTATTATTATTGACATTGGGAGTTTTGCAGCCTTCAAAAGAAAAACAAATGAAAAGTTACATCATTTTTAGATATTGCAGGAAAATACTTTAAATATACATTTTTATCCCTTAATATTAAAAAAACATTCGTGAAATAGCTAAATAAAATATTTGTTTTATTTTCATCAAACTTTATTTAATTTTGAATCCAATAACCAACCTGAAATGTATTTTCAAGTTTTCATCAGGAAATGAAACAACAGTTTCAAACATACATGAAAACTAAATTACTTAAAAGTACAGAGGAAAATTAGAACCTCAATTTTCTCTTGTTGCTTCCTATCACCCATGTTTTCAAAGGTAAAAATATAAAAACTCATACAGTATATTTTAAAGGCCAGTTAGTTCTTGAAACAGCAAAATGTGGTTGCTTCTATGACATTTATAATTTTTCTGTTGATCTCTGATATTTTAAAGATTCAACCTACATCAGTGATGGCTAACCTATGACACGCGTGTCACTCGTGACACGCCGAGGCACTTTGACTGACACGCCTGTTGGTGTGGGAAAAACCTGCACATTTAGAGGCTGCCTGTGCTCTGCTCCAATCCCTGCTCCCTGCTTGTTGCGTGGAGGCGTGGTGTCACCGCTGCCACAAGATCTTTGCAGCAGAGAACCAGTTTTAACCGCCATAAACTGAGGTTTGTCAGTTTCATTACCTCAGGAACGCTACAGGAGGAAAGGAGATCCATGAGGTTCACAGCCCTGTAAGGTGGCCTTCCGATCCCCACATCCTGCACCTGCAGCCCTGAGACCAGGGAGACGAGTTTCACAGCCCTGTGTGATCACCCCAGCCCAGTCCGTCATAAACCAAATTATTGATATTTCTTGAAGTGACACACGACCCGAGGAAGGCTACACTTTTTCCCGATTTTCGACACACCAAGCTGAAAAGGTTAGCCATCACTGACCTACATCATTTAAAAACGGTATCTTACATGTTATTTAACTTAAATTTTCAAGATGTGGAAGACAGCCTCCTTGTAATCTGTTGAGGGTACTTCCTTCCCATTTTATTTTCCTCTCTTGGAAAAGGAGACAGCCAAATTGGACAGATCCTGCCTGTGCTCCAGCTCAATGCGTAGGAGATGGAGAACACAGCTGAGCAAATCAAAGGATTTCCAGAACAAAGCCAACTTGGTAAGTGTGCAGGACCAGAGCCAATATCCAGAGGGTGAATTGGAGGCATGATGAGATGGGAGTTTTTTCAGAGGGCATGCCGTCAAGAGGGGTAGGAACTATTGACTAACTAACATATACAGCAGGCGGCTAGAGCTGTAGCACAGTTCCACACCCAGTCAGGAACTGAAAAGATGCTAAAGTCATAGGAACAGCTCCGGATAGAGGCAAAGTATAATTGTCCAAAAACCCTACAAAATGTCAGCCGGTCAGCTAAGCCTGCGATGACTAAAGTGGGGTGAGATCTAAGGCTGAATAGGGAATAAAGTTACTCCACATTCCACACTTGGGAGAGAGGCTAAGGACAGGGCTAACTAAGCCCTAATAATTAATACAGGCATGGGCAATTTAAGCAAGCCTGTAAAAGAGGGAGAGGGGGAAATTTTTTTAATAGAAACTTATCAAAATAATAAATATAGAGAAAGACACCCATAGAATTAGATACAAGTAATTAAGATTTAGGAACTGACATAAAGAGACATAAGATTTAGAAAACGGAAGGATATGCTCCATTTTGTTTGGGAAAAAAATTGATTACTTTAGTACAATAAATCTTCCCCTTTCACAAAGGAAGAGAAAATTTGCTTCTTGTTTGTGGTCTGTACCATTTTCCAAAAAAGAGTTTGTCACAAAACATAACTTACGTTCACTATGGACTCCTTTGTCTGAGCCATATCAGAAATGACTCCATCTGTAACAATGAGAAGAACAAAATACTGGGAGCCATCTTTTATTGAGGCAGCATATCTAAAAAACAAAAAAGAAGTCTTCACATTTTAATACTAAACACTATTTGGAATGCTTTTAAATCTGAATCTAATTAACACTAAAACAAGTGATAAACACCCAATTATTTTAAAAACAAAAAAACAAAAACCTTTGAGTATTCAAATTGTATTCCTAGTCTATGGCTATGTTTTTGGTAGATTGGACTGCATTATCTTTTTGCGTGAAGACAGACGCAAATAATGAATTAAGTACCTCTGCTTTCTCTGTACTGCCCATTACTTCCTTGCCATCTTTTTTCATTGGTGGACCAATTGTTTCCTTGACTTTTTTCTTGTTTTTTATGTGGTGAAAGAAACTTTTAAAATTATTTTTGACATCTGTTGGAAGTCTTACTTTATTCTGAGTCTTTGTCTTCCTGATCATTTTTGCAAGTTTGGGCTATTTGTTGGTATTCTACCTTAGCTATGCATCTCTTTTTCCATTTTTTGTACTTATTCCATTTTCCATTTTTTGTGCTTATTTTTTTTGTCTTTCAGTTTATCAAAGTTCTTTGTGTAACCAAGCTGGTTTTTTCCTGGATTTCTTGTTTCTCTTTTTCAGTGGTATTGATCATTATCCATATTTTTCAGAGTTTCCTTGACTTTTTTCTTATTTTTCACATGTTGAAAAGAACTTTTAACATTATTTTTGACATTTTTTGCAAGTCTTGGTTTATTTGGAGCCTTAACCTTCCAGACTTCATCTCTGCAGATTTTTCCAATATGCTGGTATTCTGCCTTAGTTATATGTCCCTCTTTCCATTTTTATACTGATCCTTTATATTTATAAAATAGAAAATTAGCAATTCTCAAGGCAGATTGGCAGTCATGTAAAACACTCAACAAATGACTCAGCTTCAAGGCCATCCAGTGTTGGGGAGAGATGGCTAATTTATATGAAGAAAAAGCTATGGGTCTGAACCACTCTAGCTTTATGAGGCCCTTGTATCTCACAGTGGCAGTGGGCAATGAATTGCTGCATTTGATTTAATTCCTGTTTGCTAATTGAACTGAACTGCGTCTCCTAGTATTCCGGTCTTGGAAAAGCTTAATTGTCTAAAGATAGGATATTTGTGATTTACGTTGGTAATAATATATAGCTGTGATGGCGAACAGGTGGCACGCAGAACCATTTGTGCCGGCACATGAGCCACAGGCAAGCTTACCTCACTGTGCATGTACATGCCTCACAGCTGATTTTTGGGCTGTTTGAGGCCTTTTTCGGCCTCCCAGAAACTTGAGGAAAGCCTTTGCAGGCCAAACAATAGGCCCATTTTGTCACTTCCTGTATTTCCGGAAATATCAGAAGTGATAAAACGGGCCCATTTTTTGGCCTGCAAAGGCTGCAGAAGTTTTCCTCAAGCCTCTGGGAGGCTGAAAAAGGCCTCAAGCAGCCCAAAAATCAGCTAGAAGGTGCAGTGTAGATAAGGGGGCGGCCACGGGGGGATTACACACGCATGCGCAGGGGGAATGGGGGGCGTACGCATTGCCTTTTGGGTGCTGGCATGTGAGCATGCGCACAATTTTTTGCACAGGAGCCCAAAAAGGTTAGCCACCACTGACATATAGTATGATGGATATAGAGCAAAACACTGTGAAGTCTTGCTTCATTCTGTTTATACTGTGAAAATAAGCTAAGAGTTGTTGAAATGAAGTTATAATTGCAAATGAGTCTATGGATGCACAAAAAGTTTATTCTGTACACAGTAGCACTCTAGATGTTTTGAGCGAAAGTGTATTGTTTTGGGGTGATGTAAAAATAGCAAAAAAACCAACAACCCAAGAACACTGGCATTTGCAGATGTGAGGAGACAGGCAGAATGGGAAAAGTCTTGATAACTGAAGGGACAGACTGATAGAATGTGAGAGAAGAGACAGCATACTCCTATACCACTTATCCATAAAATCACTCCACAGGTGAAACTCGAAAAATTAGAATATCGTGCAAAAGTTCATTTATTTCAGTAATGCAACTTAAAAGGTGAAACTAATATATGAGATAGACTCATTACATGCAAAGCAAAATAGTTCAAGCCGTGATTTGTCATAATTGTAATGATGATGGCTTACAGTTCATAAAAACTCCAAATCCACAATCTCAGAAAATTAGAATATTACATGCAATCAATAAAACAAGGATTGTACATAGAAAATATCAGACCTCTGAAAAGTATAAGCATGCATATGTACTAAGTACTTGGTTTGGGTCCCTTTTGCAGCAATTACTGCCTCAATGCGGCGTGGCATGGAAGCTATCAGCCTGTGGCACTACTGAGGTGTTATGGAAGACCAGGATGCTTCAGTAGCGGCCTTCAGCTCTTCTGCATTGTTCGGTCTCATGTCTCTCATCTTTCTCTTGGCAATGCCCCATAGATTCTCTATGGGGTTCAGGTCAGGTGAGTTTGCTGGCCAATCAAGCACAGTAATCCCACGGTCACTGAACCAGGTTTTGGTGTTTTTGGCAGTGTGGACAGGTGCCAAGTCCTGCTGGAAAATGAAATCAGCATCTCCATAAAGCTCGTCTGTGGAAGGAAGCATGAAATGCTCCAAAATCTCCTGTAGACGGCTGCGTTGACCCTGGACTTAATGAAGCACAGTGGACCAACACAGATGACAATACAGACTGTGAAAACTTCACACTGGACTTCAAGCATCTTGCAGTGTGTGCCTCTCCATTCTTCCTCCAGACTCTGGGTCCTTGGTTTCCAAATGAGATGCAAAAGTTGAAAGAAAAGTTGAAAGATGAAAAGAGGACTTTGGACCACTGAGCAACAGACCAAGTCTGTTTTTCTTTATCCCAGGTAAGATGCTTCTGACGTTGTTTGTTGTTCAGGAGCGGCTTGACAAGAGGAATACGACATTTGAAGGCCATGTCCAGGATCCATCTGTGTGTGGTGGCTCTTGATGCATTGACTCCAGCCTCGGTCCACTCCTTGTGAAAGTTCCCAACACTTTTGAATGGCCTTTTCCTGACAATCCTCTCCAGGCTGCGGTCATCCCTGCTGCTTGTGCACCTTTTTCTTCCACTCTTTTCCCTTCCACATAACTTTCTATTAATGTGCTTTGATACAGCACTTTGGGAACATCCAACTTCTTTTGCAATTACCTTTTGAGGCTTTCCCTCCTTATGGAGGGTGTCAATGATAGTTTTCTGCACAACTGTCAGGTCAGCAGCCTTTCCCATGATTGTGATTCCTACTGAACCAAACTGAGAGACCATTTAAAGGCTCAGGAACCCTTTGCAGGTGTTATGGCTTAATTAGCTGATTAGAGTGGGACACTTTGAGCCTAGAATATTGAACCTTTTCACAATATTCTAATTTTCTGAGATTGTGGATTTGGGGTTTTTATGAGCTGTAAGCCATAATCATCTCAATTATGGCAAATCACGGCATGAACTATCTTGCTTTGCATGTAATGAGTCTATCTCATATATTAGTTTCACCTTTTAAGTTGCATTACTGAAATAAATGAACTTTTGCACGATATTCTAATTTTTTGAGTTTCACCTGTATAATCCTTGAAGGTTATTTTAAGCCAAATCCAGAATAACAAAATATTTGAAATTTTATTTTTGTTTAACCACAGCTGGTCTGAAAGGCAGAATGCCTGATGTTCTATGTGGTGTTAAAAAAAACAATGCCCCCCAAAAACAGTTTGTTTCCTATGCACCCCAAATGATTCCCTTGCCTAAATATTCATGAATTAAAAACACAAATGAATTTTCACATTAAAAGAGACAAGAGGGATAAATGAAGTCTAAAATAAGTACACTATGTAATAATGGCATAATATGCTAATGCAAATACACAATGCAGTTCTTTCCATTTTAATGAAAACTACATTAAAAATCTTAAATATTATTATATAAAGTTTCAGTTTCGGGTATTAGACCTATTCATTACCTTGCTACATGATTAATAACAGGAGCAAAGTTGGTTGGTCCATAAAGTTGCACAGATTTTAAACTCATATAGTATGCTTCCATTACACCATCAATTCCACTGCAGTAAGGATTTTGTGGATTTCCATTCTGTAAATTAAAACCAGGAAAATATATTAATTACTGAGAATGTTATTTATAAAATAGCATTATGACTGATAAAGGTCACCAAGCATTGCATGAGCTGTCTAAGACTTTTTAAAAAGTAGGAAAACTGTATTTTAAGGTAGGTTTCAGGGGTTTTAAGGGATGAAGTAAGTAACTGCAAAGCTTAAGTCGTCCATTTTGCCCATTATCCACTCAAAATCTCCAAATCTGGGTAAGGGAGGTGAGGCCACAAGATTCTGGAAACTATGATAGGAATCCCAATCATACATCCTTCACTTCTGGCCTTTTTCTTTTTAAGTTCACTTAGTTATCCCAAGACTATTTTCAAAGACAACCTGCAATTACAAGACTGTAAATCCTAATTTTTCCCTACTTCACCAGAGTGCTTATTTTAGTAATTTGTGAGGCATTTCATATAGGAAAGTAAAGTAAATAAAGTAAATATAATTCAGCATCTTCTATTAGAGTGGCCATGTAATTTTGTCTCTCGAAGGAATTGCTGTTTTAAGTTAGGAGGGATGTTTGCTTTTAAGTCATGATAATGAGAACGATATTGATGAATCAGGGATGTGCCTTTAGCAACCGAAGTAGATGTTAAATTCCAAAAATTAAAAGCTACACTTTTACCAGAGGCTTGGGAGGAGGAGAGCAACATAGCCACAAACAAACAAATTTCTTACCAAGGCAAACTCATGAGATATTCTTCCATCTGGGGGCAGTTTTGCACCAAAGCCTAGAGCTGGAAACATTTTGTCAGTATCATAATCTTGAATGATTTCACCTACTGCCCTTAATGCCATTCCATATGCATTCAGTTGGTATGGATTCATGTAGTGAAGTGATGTTGGATGTGCAGGGTTACCTGTTTTTAAAAAAAATATATGTAGAGGATGTTTAGTAGATGTGACTTTACATGTAAAGTACATGTATGGTTATATGGTTCTGTATACAGTGCTACCTTGGTACTCATTTTTAACTGGTTCCAGGAGGCAGGACGAATGACAAAAATGATAAATACCAAACAATTTTTTCCCATAAGGAATATTAGCAATAGCACTTAGACTTCTATACCGCTTCAGTGTTTTCCAGCCCTCTCTAGGCAGTTTACAGTCAGCCTATTGCTCCCAACAATCTGTGTCCTCATTTTACCCACCTCGGAAGGATGGAAGGCTGAGTCAACCTTGAGCCTGGTGAGATTCGATCTGCCAAATGGCTGGCAGCTGGTGATCAGCAGAAGTAGCCTGCAGTACTGCACTCTAACCACTGCGCCACCACAGCTCATAATGTAAATAAATTGAATGTGTTCCCAAGCTAAGGACAATGCACACTTTTAAGGCAATATGTAAAAAGTGGTATAGAGCTGTATATCATTAATTTATATAAAAAATAAACCTAAACATAAATACTTAGATTAAATAAAATAAAATTTCACTTTACTTGTACTAGTGACAAAAAAAGTGCAAAAATACACAAAATGACCACAAGCTAAGACCAGACCACAAGGGGATGTGCACAGGGCAAGAGCTATTGCGTGACTAATGCATGACCCTTTGTTTCAGCTGGAAAGGGTAGCGAGTCATGAAGCAACCATCACTGACAAGTTCTAGCTTGCCTGTTGAGTACCAAACAAACAAGACTACCGAGACAAAATATGTTTGAGTACCAAATCCGACGAGTTTCAAAGCAGTCAAGGACCAAGATATGAGTGTATGAGCAAAAATCTCTCTAACTGCTACTTTCTTAACAGATATAATTTGTACCGTCAATATATATTTCTGATTATCTCTGCCCTCAACTATATTACCTTCCTCCCACAGGGAACTGAATCCCTATTATTTCATCAAAGGCTGCCTTCTTTTCCATGTGAATAAAACAGACTTAAACAATAAATGTGTTAGTGATAAAAAAGCTACCCAACTTTTCCAAAATGAGGACAGCAAAGTTAAGTATTTCTTCAGGTATATTTTTACTATATTCAATTTAAGAATTTAATGGGCTAAATGGGCACAGAGCAGGGATGGGATCTGACCGATATAACTACCGGTTCTGTTGCTCTGCATCATGCGTGCATGTGCACAAGGAAGTTGCCCGAGTGCAATTTACAGCCTGCTGAGCTGCCCGGACAGCTGAGCAGCACTGCGTGCAAGTGCGCAGTGGTTGGAAAAGCCCCTTTCTCCTGCTTTTTCAACGGCAGCTGTGTCGCGCAAAGCAGCTGCCGTTGAAAATGCAGGAAATAACGGTCAGGTAAGAGCCCAGGCGGGCGGGTGGGCCAAAACAGCAGCAGACATAGAACCGGTTCTATGTATGATCTCTGTTATTGCTGCTCTTCAGAGCAACCAGTTCTACAGAAGTGGACCGAACCAGTAGAATCCCACCCCTGGTACAGAGGTATATTGCTTTGGTCATTTTTAAAATTATATTCAATCATGGCAATTTTAATTTTGCTAAATTTGAAAACTGTGCAACAGCAGTTCGATCCAGAGGTTAGATAGTCCCGTATCGTCACTAAAATGGAGAAATGGAGATTGAGAGACTATCTTATCTCTAAATCAAAGGCTTCAGATAAACCTGCTTCAGGTTCTAAAAAAAAAAAAACCTTTTAAAAATGTCTCTACGAAAAGTATCTAAAATTTTACATAATCACATCCAAAACAGACGTCCATATTTCACTGTAAGCATTAGAGCCTGTGGATGATTTTGAACCTCCCAAGATTATGTGCAGAATTGTACAATCACAAGGCTGGAAGGGACCTTGGAGGTCTTCTATAGCCCAATCACTGGATTTCTTTCATTTTCTGCTAGGCTTCATGAGCTCATTTGACTTTGAAAACAAAAACAAGCAACAAAAGCTGCCTTCAGGTTAATTAAAAATAATTAAAATTGAGCAGAGTTAGTATTTCATAATATATGGCAAGTGTAATTAATAAAACTATTCCTTCCAGCAATATTGATAGAAAGAAGGGAAGGAGGCATCATAATGTGATTCATATCTTTTTTAATCATATAAAACCATACATTTCTGGTTTTATAAAACAAGCCTAAACAGCCACCTCTGTGTTTGTATATATAAATTATTACCATAAATTGCATACAAATATAACCATATTCTACAGATATATGCAAACTTAGATTTAGACTTGATTTTTTACTGTAAATAACAATGATTATAAGCATACAATGCCAAAAACAAATAGCATTTTAATAGCCTTCATGAGTAAGGTAATTAAAAGCTTTCAGAAACGCAAGGCGCCCCATCTTTTTCTAATAATCTATCAGAAAGGAATTTAGGCAGTCAATGCTAGATTACTGAAATACAGCACAGCATTTTTCACAGCAAACAAAGCGAAGAACTCTCTCTCGAGTGCTTAATAATGCATTCTCAGTTTGAATGTACTGGCTTAGATCCACATTTCTATAGACAGAAATGTCTCTAATAAAAGGACTTTATTTCCTCCCTTCTTGCTTCATCATTCAGTGCCTCCTGAAGCGACACTTATTAAGACTGGGAAATCCTTAGCATAATGTGAGAATATGCAGAATGAAGTTGTTAGCAATTTTCTATTTAGGTAAGGAACTTTTGCTTCCAAACCACTGTAATTCATTTGCATTAAGCTTTTGGAACATGGTATGCCAAAATGAAAGCATATAACCTCAAAATATTTCCCACAATTGAAATGTTTAGAAAGCTGAATGGTATGTCCAACTTAAGTGAATAAACTACACAACTCTTACCATTTGAAGCTGTAAAATCAATAGCCACGGTGAAATTGATTTGAGTCCTATTGAAAGAAAGCATAAATGATGCAAATTGTTTAAGATTGAGATTTAGTATATAAGGAATATAATAAGAAAAAAATCAATAAAATATACTTAATTATAAATGTTCCTATATATAAATTACAAGCTGCATTATTCAAAAATTAAAGTTATACTGAATATATTATCTTTTAGAAAGTAGAACCAAACTTTCATTATGAAAATGGCATTCAAAAGAGTATGAACTTATACAAGACAGTCATATATTTGGAGCATTCCTTATTTTTAAGTGTGTGTATAAATTTAGGCAGATGATCACAATTAAAAGTATAATCCCCTCACAAAGGATTAATCCATGCGACAAGACAAATATATTGTAACTTTAATGCAGCTACTAAAAATAATTTATAAGTGAAAAGTACATCATTTCACTAAAAAATGTAGAGGCCTATGACAGATAAATCCTCACCTGGATAGTACATGTATTAAGACAAACCATATACTAAATATCTAATACCTTTAATTTAAATGTCAGAAAGCAAAAACAGGCTTTCATGTTTCAAAAGCTGTCTTTAGGTCAAATGCTAAACAATCCTGTAGATTGTAGAAACCAAAACAAAACAACTTAATGTAACAATCCTAGTAGTTTGTAATCTCTGAAAGGTTTAAAATGACATGAACAACCAGATCCACATGTGAACAGTTCAATTAGGACATAATAGCATGTCCGCAAAATGATAAGCTATGCTTTACTATGGTATTACTTACTTATTACTTAATATTACTTATTATAAATTAATTTTGAGACCTTGGCGTTTTAAAAGTTTTTTTGCTACATATTTTTTTATTTGGGTGGATGTTTTAACATTTAAATCTATCAGGTGGTTGATAATTTATTGATTTAGTTGCATTTCTGAACTGTGTTCTCCCGTACTAATATAATTTAAAAAAAAACACTCCCTTCTAGCACTGATGATGTTATCTTGTTTGGTAATGGAACATCTGCAGGAAAACAACCACAGCATCACACAGCATATATTATTTATTTACTATTCTTAATAATATTTATAATAAAATAAATAAAATATAATAAAATATTTATAATAACAATCCAAACTCCTAAGTTGTGATATTCTTTTATACTGTTTGAAAGTTAGGTATCACATGATTGGAAGACTGGTACCTACATCAGGCTGGTACCACAAGTAATTGCTTTTAGCCTTTATATAAAGAGCAGCAGGAGAAAGAGGCACAAGAAATTTGAATACTCATTGTAGTATAAATAGAATTTGCATTTGATACAGAAGGCACTGGATTTTTTTTATAATGGCTTTATAGTTTTTCTATAATAAATCTATTATTTCTGATTTTTCGTGTCCTAATAAACATATTTTAGTAGTATTATGTCTTTACATTTGATAGAGGCCTGACAACCATACCTAAAACAATGTGTCTATAAGAAATTAGTACAAAGAAGAGCTATTTATGCTCCTATTTTATTCTTAATGGAAGTAAAATCTTGTTTTTAATCAGTTTTCTGGAGTATTTACTTACCCTCCTTTAATATAGTCGAGAAATGAAACTTCTGTTTCCACTAGGAAGGAAAGTAATGTTACCTGAGAACAAATCATACATAAGAAGTAATGAACATTAATTTTCAAAACAGCCATATACAGAACATCTATTTTTAGAATACTGAAATATTGTTTTAAATTAGAAAAGTTTATATTTATTTAAAACTTTTCATTATACAATAAAGTGAAAATTTTTGATCCTGGTATGTATCAGTAACAACTTTTTTCTCCACTTTATAAAATCCACAACTATTGAGAAAAGTCCTGTCATTTCCCTATTGACAGCTCTGTTTGGAGGATTTCTCCTATCAATTCCTGTAATGCAAGCAAGTGGATTCAGACTATATGCCTCTGATCCATGTAATATCAGCAAACTACCTCAAGCTTCCTGGGAAATAGTGATCCAAAAGAAACGGAGTCTCTATGGTTTCTCCAATGATGCCATATTAACCTTAGAGTCAGATCAAACTAGATCAATAGTATGGCAAAGGATTTTACCTAGATACAGAAGGTCAACAGAAATTGCTACTTTCTTTAATAATATAATTGCAAATAACCCAATGAGTGCCTAAACCAACCTCATATTTACATCAATAACTGTTCCCAAATTGAGATGAGCCTTATTTTAACTTGATTTAATGCTCTCCACACAGCTGTCTTGAAAGGGAAATATAGGAAAATCCCATTGGAAACACAGTATTGCCTCTATGATATGGATACCATAGAAACTATAGCCCATGTCATTGCCAAGTTCTACAGAGACAATCACAGGTTATCCTTCTATTATTTACTACATTTATGTGTAAGCTTTGCCCACAAAAGGTTACTAATAGTTCTTGTTAGGGTATACTTTTTATATTGCTCATTTTAATGAATGTAATTTTATTGGTCAATGACTGAAATAAAGCTTCTGTCCGTCCAACTGCATGCATGCACTTTTGTTTTCAGAGATCACCGGCATTACCTCTTAAATTAATGTTTTAAAAGTACTGCTTGATCTAGCATTAATGATTGCCAACTGTGTAAACAGCAAAACAAAACATGGAGAGACAAAATGTTCAAAGTTCAAGGTTATTATTCCTAGTTTCACTTTATATGTGTGAATAAGAACAGTAGTACAGTTATCTGCTTTTGTTTCCCCAGAATAACTGAGCCATTTGTGTTTAATTTCTGAAATGTTTTGGAAGAACTTATTGGCTTCTGCTAAATGACACATTTATTAAAAGACCTTCACCACTTTCACATATGAATTTTATTACTGACAATTTAATCACTATTTCCTAGGACAGAAAATTATTCAGGCTTTATATTGATCTCTATGCCTTTTAACCAGACTATATTAAGTCTTAAGTGAAAATCTCAAAACTGTACCAGACCAAGTCTTACTCACTATTTTTAATATTTCGAGCAATCTTAAACTCAGTGATGATAAATTTTGGAGGCTCCTTATGCAAATTCTTCCAGAATTTAACTGCAGTAATTTTAATGTGATTTTATATATTTATGCTTTGATTATAATGTTGTAACTGTCCTGAGTCACCTTATGGCAGGAGTAGGTGGCAAATCAATTTAATAAATAATAATATTGACAAATTCACCACCAGCCAATTGCTCAGAACACCTTACATCCTGCAACGATAACACCATGAAACATTCACATCTGCCTATCTCAGGTCCCTGGGAAGAACTTGTTAGACAGACAAAAATGCGAAATTCAATTTGAACATCTGGCTGACTGTGAAATGAACCATAACTTACTTCAGCATAATACAAAGCATGGAAATGAAGTAATAAAAACAGACACTTAACTGTTCCTGAATTAACATACTTTTTCTTTTTTGCTTTTTTCTTTGGATTTATTACCTAGGAAGATAAGTAAATAAAGTATATTCAATATTAATGCAATTTTTTTCTTGTTTCATACACCTTTAGAATTCAACTGTATCCCTTTAACATCCACTACACACAAACAACTAACTTTTCCAAAGCAAATATGAATTTGCATGGGCTCCCTTGGCTGCTATTGTATCTTTTTGTTTGGAGTTAATTATGGAAGGATGGAAAAGTAAGAATTGTAGGTTTTTCTAAGTTTCTAAAGTAGTAAGGGAGAATCCCTTTGTCTGTCAAGTGGACTGTCAATGAAACAATGAGGCTTGTAATAAGGTTGGCTTTAACTAACTTTGGACTCATCCTGATTGTGATGGAATGGGAATAAAATTAATTAAACAGTAATGATGAAAAAGAAAGGGTTAATTCCTGTCATTCATCTGGATGATATAGTGCAGGGGTGTCAAAAACTCAAGGCTGCCCTGGAAAGGTGAAGGACTTGGCCTGCAGTGCCACAGCCAGTGAAAACAGAGCTCGTTTTTCACTGGCAGAGGGTTGGTTGCAGGAGGCCGTCACAGCCCGAAATGGAGCTCGGTAGTGCGTTTTCGCTGGCAGAGTGCTCAGGCCGCCACAGGCACCCCCGATACGAGTGATGTTGAACTGGTCATGTGCCCCCTGGCCACGACCTCTCCCACCCCCAATGCAGCCCTCAATGAAATTCGAGTTTGATACCCCTGATGTAGTGCAAAAGGTCTGGAATGTGAAGTGAGAGGACAGTCAACGGAAGAAAACTGGTCACCAATGCACTGCACAGAGCAGAGCTATAATATATTATCCTAGGAGAATACATAACTTCCAATGTTTCAGTGATTGTGTCACACTGAAAAGTACTATCAAAATATTCTGAGCGCGTTGTCATGGAAAACCCTGAATGTTATAGGGAATAATGACCCTCTAAATAACTCTAGAATGTAGAGCATCATCAGAGTTGCAAAGGACCTCGGAGACCTTCTAGTCCAACTGCCTGCTCAAGGAGACCCTGTACCTTTTTAGACAAATGGCTGTCTTGTGTCTTCTTAAAAACCTCCAGTGATGGAACACTCACAATCTCTGAAGGCAAGCTGTTCCACTGATTGTTCTCATTGTTAGGAAATTTCTCCTTAGTTCTAGGCTGCTCCTCTCCTTGGTTACTTTCCATCCATTGCTTCTTCTGGTGCTTCTGGTAAATAAGCTGTTCCCCTCTTTTTTTGTGGCATCCTCTCAAATATTGGAACACCACTATCTAGTCACCTCTAATCTTTCTCTTCACTCAGTTGCAGAAACTTTTCTAGTAAACACACCCAGTTCCTGCAACTTTTCTTATGTTTTAGCCTCCATCCATCTGGATATTGAGCCTATCTTCTGGGGTTTTGGCTATTTTTGTCAGCTTGTCATCATCTACAAATTTAATCAGTTCCCCCTTTATCCCCTCATCTAAACAGCTTACGAAGATATTGAAGAGCATTGGGCCTAAGACAGAACTTGGGGTGCTCCACTGCTTACTTCCCTCCATGTAGATGTAGGACTACATGTTGAGTGTGTTTTGTTAGCCTGTTAAATATCCACCTGGTGCTGATACTGTCTATCCCACATTTTTCTAGCTTACCAGGAAGTAGATTGTGTTTTATTTTGTCAAATGTCTTACTGAAATCCAAATATATTATCTCTGCAGCATTTTCCTTGCCCACTAATTTAGTCACTTTGTCAAAGAATGCAACTAATAAGATTTGTTGCATGATCTGTTTTTGACTCTGTGCTATCTCCTATTTTAATCCTAGTACTATGCAAATAGGTTGACTAGTAACTCATAGTGGCACAACAGCAAGATTCATCTAAACTTCTTGGATAAGAAGAAAAATGTTTTCAAAGAAAAAAAATCAAGAAAATCCAGTTGCCTTTTGGAAAAAAGCACTTTTGGGACATTTTTGTGGAGTGCATCTATAGATTTTCATCCCTTGATGATTATTAAGACAGATGTTAAGAGCAATTCCAAGACAAAAAGGGATGCTTTCCCAAATATTTCTCTCAAACATATAGACCAGGGGTCCTCAACTCCTTCAACACATTGACCTCTTCAAGAAGTTTTAGATCATTCACCAACTCCAAATGTTTATTATGTAAAAATAATTTAATAAATAGTGTTTAACTAATAACACTACAAAGATTAATAACAAACCAAGAATGCATAGCCCCATTGTCCTTGGGGCTGATAATGACCACTTTGGGGAACTCTGGTTTAGACTTTTAAAAGTACTTGTTATGTTTAACATTACAGCTATATATAATACTGTATTTAAGAAATTCTTATGTTTTTAAGTTAAGTATATAATACATCATACTTTAAATAATAAGTCTTAATTGGTGAGGTGTAAAGGGTTTAAAAAGAAATTAATTTTAATTCTATAAAATCCTGAACAAGTTTATCTTTGTAGTTAAACTAATATGCCTGAGTAATGGGAGAAGAAAAGAGTAGACAGGTTCCAAAGACTGTTTTTACCTTTTCTCAATTTCTCTAATAAGCTTTAAGTAAAGATTTGAGGTGATGAGTATTAATTTCTTAAAATAAGGAAAGATGGGGGGGGGGAATCAATTTAACTCGTTACCTCATATACATTAAACTGTGACTGTCCTCTAGACAATTCCCTATAGCTTGTGGTGAATTCTCCAATAAAATCATGACTAGAAAAAACAAAGAAATATTCACATTAATAGAATCAAGCATTACAATACAATGACACATATATTTGCCCAAGTTTTTTTTTTAATTAATTGTTCACAATTCTGGAGACTATTGATTTCAATATTTCAAATCTCTAAAAACTTAATAATAACAGCAAGCTCTCTGCAATGTTCATATTCTCAATAGTATGCATTTGGCCACTAGTTGATCTTCTATAACACCACACTGTTATTAACAGAAATTAAAGATTCAGAAAGGCAGTGCTAATGTCTAACATAGCAAATTTTAGAGATCTGCTGGCCAAGAAACAATTGGGGCAGTGATCCATAAAATACTTAGCTTGGGGGGATAGCCAACTTATTGGATAGGGAGGCAAAGTAGTTAATGGTGCTGCGGAGTGCATATATACTTAAAAGAAGGAGCCAAATGTTTGGTTGTTAAGTCGCTATTTTTTCTTTAAAGAAGGGTCAAAAGCATCAAAAAATAAGAATTTGATTCTTGATAAAGATATCACATCAGCCACTTTTCAAAAATTAACTTTTCTTTGTTTACTAAAACAGGGGTCTCCAACCCCCAGGTCCATAGCCTACTAGAAACTGGGCCACACAGCTGGAGGTAAGCAGTGAGTGAGTGAGCAAAAACCAAAATTATCCTCCCCCTCCCCCTGGTCTGTGGTAAAATTGTCTTCCATGAAACTGGTCCCTGGTTTCCTAAAAGGTTGGGGTTCTATGTGATAAAAGAAATAAAAATTCAAAGCACGTCTCTCAAAAGTGAAGAGGCAAATGCATTCTATCAGAATTTTTTCCACACACCAGTATGCTCAGTACAGTGTATGTACATATATGTTTGTATTTGTGCATGTGTGTATAAATGATAGCAGAAGTAAGGAAATGGCAAGCAGTAAGAGTTGCTAAGATTCATGTCTTTTCTCTTAATAAGCATATTCCAATCTTAAATATTTCAGTAAAATTAATTGATAAATGCACCTTCATAACACCCCAAATAGCTAGCATTAAAAATATAAGTAACACTGTATCTTCTGTACATTAGTGGTGCATATAATAATTACCTTCCATCTCTATCCCAGTCATACACTTCTATCTTAATTGTTCTGTAAAAAAATAAAGAAAACATTCTAGAATAAAAAATACATCATTTGAACTGCACTATCACTGCCAATCATTTTGTTCAAATTTACAGGGCAATATAATTCATTTATAGAAGTCTCAAGATATCCTTTCAAGAGGTAAGTATTAAGATAATGTACAACTGAATCTAAGATCATTATAAAAAATCTTTAAAATCCAACTAGTTACTCAAAAATCGAGCCGATTTTTCTTTCTTTGACTGAGAAAAATATACGTCTTATGTAACCTGTCTGATATTCCAAAAGTGGGTATCCAAATATAAGGTTCCACGGGGGAGAAGATAGAGTAAAACCTCAATTTTGTAGTCTCCTCTTCAGCAGATTTCAGATAGACAGAATTTCAGATGAGATTTAATTTCCAAAAAATAAAATCCATTGTTCTTAAAACAATCTAGGCAACTGCTGTAATATATATGACATTTACATCTATTGATATCATTTATATAATTATGTAATTCACATAATTTCCATAAAATTACATACATAATACAAATGTTAAGAAATAAATGAAATAAATTGATGCAAATAACATAAATTATATCAGTTGACTGGACTGATATAAATACAAGTTTAACAAACACTTGGCTTTAGCATAATTATTTCACCCAAACTGATCTATGTAACTTAGATTTTATTGCAATGAAGGAATGAGCTAATGTAAATATTTCGTATTTTATTTTTTAAATAAACTGAAATACTAAACTTTTTAATTAAACAAATACATTAATACATGGTTAAGGAACAACCAAATCTTCAGTCATTGGCACAAAGCATTCAATATCATTTATTTGGTAACTTTTAGCAGTCATTCTATTATTTTTATGACTTAGGAAGAAACAAGCATGGGTAGAATGTAAAAGGATCTACAAGTATATAATGTAAAGAAATGGCAGATGATCAAAACTACATAAATGTAATGAACAAAATATTTTTAATCGAATTGTATAAATGAAAAAAATAATTAAGATTTTTCCCTACCTGAAAAACACATTTCTCTGAGGGTAGGTCCAATTATCCCAACTTCTCATTCCATAGATGACTGACAGGCAGATGTAACAATGAGGCAGATACTGCTGCTAGAGTATAAAACTATCTGTATGATATTTTAGAATATGCTAAAAGAACACTCAAATGGAATTATGTGGATTGTTGGATCTACTCTCAGAGAAATATTTCAGGGGGAACAAATTCTTCATTCACAAGAATGGATATCATATAACATTAACCATCTTGCTTAATGGGAAGCCACAGTTTTATAAATTATATTCATCTTGAAATACTAATAAAGATTTCAGCTTTGCAGATCTCCTCATAAGAGCCTATACTACTACTGCTGCTTTGATAAGATGAAGGAATGTTTCATTGAATTTGTGTCATGAATAAAGAAATCAATGATTTTTAAAACTGCTTTTACCTCTTTCTCATTTCCAAGTCAGATGAAGCCTATCAGCTTGTCCAGATTGGATTCTTAAACATCAATAGATCATTTCAAGTCACTTCGCCTTCCTCAGAATTTATGGAGTTCAGATATACAATAAATTAATGAAGCTGCTTCTGAGGAATTATGCCTAGATACTTTGAATCACTAATGTTAAATGTTGTCTATATATATGGTTAACCATATTTATTCATAAATTTAAAGTTCAAAGTAGTACAAATTAACGATGCAGAAAGCTACATATTTCAAACCACAGAATATATTAGCATTTTCTGTAAGAATACTCTTTCTAGTCCATGTCAATTTGAACTGTAGCCATAATTTTAATTGAACTGCCTGCTTTCAAAAAGAAATATTTTAGTGCTTATTTCATGGCAAGTTAAATTGTATTTCTCAGGTTTTTTTAAAAGTAATATATTAAGTCTATTAAGAACAATCATTGCTATCAGATCTCCAAAATCAATGACTTTATATTACAGACATGCCCATAACTTTTTTCAATTCTGTTTCAGCTGAAAATTGGTTGGGACTCACAACTAATTTCCATACAAAAACCAGACTATTTAAATAATATCATTTATAATCATTTGTACTTGTCTAGATAAATATTGATATAAGTATTACCTCATAAACTGCACACAAACAACTCATAGGATTTTTATGTGTGCACTAGATTAATATGTTGCATTCCATCAATGGATGGCACTCATAAAAAGCAAAGAAAACCGGCTAGTGAAAACACGATGTCTTTTTAAGAAAGCAGATGTCTGGCATATTAATTGAAGATGCCAAGTGTCCAGAGACAAATATGTGAGACTGAACAAGTCTCCTAAATATTTGTGTTTTTTTTTAAAAAAAGATTAAGGTTAATGTACATAATTCAGCATTTCTGCATTGAAAATATATTATAATTAATTTATCTCTCTGATGGGGGGGAGGACTTTATTCTGACAATGAAATGAAGAAAAGGAAAGTCAGCAGATTTTCTATACAAACATGTAACTCATTTTGTCAACTGCAAATGCTACTTTTTCTTCACTTGGTTTAGTTCAGAATACCTTGACAGACTGCTCTGAAACTTTCCTCCTCCATTCTGTGGCTTATAATGTAGCCTGAAGTTTCACACTGAAGGTGGCAAAGGGGGAAGAGAAGATAGATCAGTTGAAGTAGCGATTGTATCAGTAATGTTGGCAATCACCTAAATCGAATTTATTTATCAGAAGCACTGAATGTAGTACTCAAGATTCATATCTCTTGATATGATAGATGTTATGAAATGAATGAGAGTACCATGTATTCTGTTGAAGCTTCTTAGTCTTATTTTTATCCAATCTATTTTAAGCAAGAAGACATTTCCATGAAATTTAATAGTTTGGCTTGAGGAAAGCATCATCATCAATGTTTACTTTTTAATAACACAGAGCAGTAATTAATATCTTAGTGTACTAGCAGCAGTAATTTCTTGTTTCCTGACATTTTGCTTTTTATCTGCTTGTCAATCATCTGTAGAAAGAATAGCACCTATTGTACTAAAAATGTTCTCTATTTCATTTAGACTGCACTCTTATGAACAGTAACTTAACATTATATGGGATTATTGGATTTTACCTCTAAGTAAACATGTACATCAGACTGGGTTGGCGGACATTCACAACAATAATAAAATAAGTAATAAAATATTAATATTTATTATGAATTCAAAATTTTTAAAAAGGATTTTAAAGGGTTTTTAAAAGGATTCAACTAAAATGAACAATCTTATAAGCATTTTGACACATTTAAACAAAAAATTGCTTCACTTACCGGTCATAATCTCCATTACAAAGTGCTCTGATGGATAACTTGAATGCCTGCCATACTGGATTTAAAGTGTTCTTTACAACTTCTGTCTTGTGGCAGATTGTGAAACTAAAACAAAAAATATATATTTTTTACTTTGTATTTATTATCTGCCATCAGGAAAAACTGTGAAAGATCTGATGCCTCATAGTTTGAATGAACATTTGTAAACTAAAAAAAAACATGATCAGTGCAGAAGAGAAAGATAATAGAAGTCAAAGCAAGCAGAGCAAAGGATTGTGATAACTTTGTTTTTATAGCTTTGGAGATGGTATCTAATTATAACTGTTCCCTCTACCTAACATCACAAATCACTGGGGAATTACATGTTCTTTCATAATCAACAAGTTTAAATTACATAGAACATAGAATTATAAATTGTAAATGACCTCAGTGATCTTCTAATCCAACCCCTTGCACATCGCAAGAGATCCTATACCATTCTGGGCAAATAGTTATCCACTCTAGTTTTGAAAATCTCCGGTGATAGAGCACCCACAACTCCAGGAAGCAAGCTATTTCATTGATTAATTGTTCTCACTGTCAAAAAAAATTAACCTTACTTCTATAGATTGGATCTCTCTTTAACAAGAATCTACCCATTACTTCTTGTTCTGCACTCTATTGCTTTGGTAAATAAGCCAATGCCCTCTTCATTATGAAAGCCCCGAAAGTACTAGAAGACAGTTATAATGTCCCCCAATCCTTCTCTTTGATAGGCTAGACATATTAACTACCTCAACCACTATCATTTGATTTAGCTTCTAGATAATTTATTATTTTTGTTGCTGTACTCTGCATACTTTCTAGAGTCTTAGCATCTTTTTTGTATCATGATAATCAGAACTGGCTTTAATATTTAATATAAAGTGGTATTGTAACTTCTCATGATCTTGATGCTCTACCCCTGTTGATGCAGCCCAGGACTGCATTGGCTTTTTTGGCAGCTGCAGCACACTGTTTGCTCATACTCAAGTGGTCGTCCGCTGGGACAACTAGATCTCTCTTATAGATACTACTGTTTTTACAGGGATATTTTAGAGGGATATTGATCCATAAAAAAATGCTGATAACGCTATGAAAGTAAGGAGAAAACTTTTCATAGATTATGAAGAGAATCCAGTAATCACTATTAAAGCTTATAAGACTGAATATTTAGCAGAACAAATGTGAACACCTACCTGCCATCTTCATTGCTACGAAAAAATACCAGGAAGGGATCAGATTTCCCAAAAAAATCTTTCTTGTCTAATTTGTTTGCACAAAATTGCATCAAAACAGCTTCCTAAAAAAATAAAGGGATAACAGAAATATTAATTCATAAATCACAGAGAACAATTTACATAAAATATGCACAATTTAATTTTTTTAATATTCTAATAGATTAGAATAAAGTTAGAATAAAGAATAAAGGTAATGAAAGTCTTTAAAACATTTATTAGTTGCCTGGATTTTTAATACTAAGATGGAATGATATTTTAAGCCCAGGGTCTCATTTTAAGCCCAGGGTCTCTACCTGTCAGATATACATACACACACACACACACACACACACTCCTGTGGTATTATCTAAGAATGGAAATAGATTTTAAGAGCATATACTAAATATAATTTTAAAAAATGTAGCAGAAAAAATCAAGGTAGCGGCAAGGGGAAGTTTGAAAAGTATATCAGTCAGTGTTTCTGGATTTATGGGGGTGGGCAAGAGTGAATTTCAGAACTCTCTTTTGAGTAGCTGGGCAGATAACAAACTGAATCATAATATTCTTTGTTCATTCACAGAAATAAAGATTGTTGAAGGAAAGCATCTGAGCGTTTTAATACTGGGAATGGAGTGAAAATGTTGCTACATTCCCTAAGAAAATTCCAATTTGAGAAAAACGTCTGAGGTGGGCAACCTGCTTCACTGAAGTAGCCAGTGGCCATTACCACTGCCATTGCCGGAGGATCTATTGTTCCACCCACACTGAGGTGTCTGGTTAAGGCATCACCGAAAACATTCCCCCAAAGAGGCAGTGAGTGCTCTCTCCCTCTCTCTTGTGAGCTAGATAAATATATTTCTTTTTTTTTTGGAACCATTGGCTGGAAAATTTCAGATAGCAAGTGACTTCTGCTTTTCCAATCACGATGCCTTCTAATAGCAATATTGTGGATTTGTAGTAGTTCGTAATGCAATGACATAGGATTGTAATTCAGTAGTCATCTAGAAAATAATGCTGATATTCAGAAGAAGCTTCTTTTGTTTTGTGGATACTTTTCAAGATAAAGATTAAGAGTGAAAAGCACCATACAAGAGCTCCTAGGATCCATGCAATCACAGCAAGATGGGGCTAAGATTTGACCTTTTTTTTTTTTGCTTTTTGGGTTCTAGTGAGTCTCCTCTCTAGAATCTTTTCAACTTTAGAGAACCATCATCTTTTTAGGGAATTGGTTGCTACTGTAATGAATTATAGTCAAAGGGGAAAGTGTTTTTATTGATTCCAGTTAACTATTAGAGAACACTTTCCTTTGTTCCTTCCCTCCCTACCTTTCACCCATTAGCTCAAGGCACTGTGTACCATGCACCTTCTTTCTACTTTTCCCCACAACAATCCTGCATGTAAGGTTGAGCTGATAAGAGAATGACTGGTCATGCTACACAGTGAACAAAATTTTTTAATTTACCCGGCAACAGTTCAGTTCCTCTGCTGTCAGTATTATTGTGCCACATTTCCTCCCAGGAATTCCTCTGTTAAAAAAAATCATATGCATAACTGAAATATAAATGTAAAGAAAGTTTCCAAACAAATAGAACACTAGATAATTTCTATCAGATTTGTTTGCTCTTTCATATACGTTTCAATAGTAATAGCACATGCACTTTTTCCCTAGCTGAAAGGATAGGAAAGAAAACAGAAAAGCAATACACTAGTGACCTACAGTTCCTTGAATTAAATTTTTTTCCCCAGGTTTCAAAAAAGATTATTTGGAACTAATCAACTAAGATAGGCTCACAGAGAAGTTGCAAGCAAACTTAATAGGATAGGTCCACATCTTATATGGCACAGCAATAATAGATGTTAATTTACCATTTTTTTCCTGCTTTCTGGGGCACAAAATGCCTTTTCTTTAAAGTGAAGATTTTTTTGATTTTTTTCAACACAACTAATTTTTAAAAAGTGGGAGGATGTATTGTAGGTTGAATACTATTCACAATGCATACCACTTATACTGTGCTTAACATATCAGAAGTGCTTTGTTTATTTACATTCAAATTACTATGAAAGGAATTTTTTTAATTATTTTTTTAAAAAAACTATAGTAATGATAATGTGATTTACAAAAACAGCCTTTCCTGTTCACAAAAAAGAGTCAGAGAAAATGTTCTTCAATTAAGGAAGTGTGCAAATATATAAATATAAATAATTTGATGCACTTAATTCAGAGTAGATGTGAGAACCTTAATGACCATAACACATCCTTATACATAGCAGATGTGTGATACATTAAAAGAAAAGATAAACGAGTCCCTGCGGAATTTACTCCACTAGTCATGTAGAGGTGGTGCTCATCTCCGTTTCAAGGCCATTGAGCCAGTGCTGTCCAAAGACATTTCTGTGATCATGTGGCCAGCATGATGTCACAGGGCGCTTCCACCAATGTGGTATCTATTTATCTACTTGCATTTGTATGCTTTTGAACTGATAGGTTGATAGGTGTTGGGGCAAGAATGGGAGCTCACCCTGTTTATATGGCACTCAGTCTTGAATGTGAGCTCCCCACTTTCCAGCCAACAAGCTCAACATCTTACCTGCTGAGCCACTGCCCACCTCACCTCCATAAGATACATTATCTACAATAAATCACAACTTGCTACACTTCTGTTGGACAGTTTTGTGCCAGTGACAGAAAATTTATATTTAGAATCAATGTTTGATGTACTAATGTTATTAACTTCACATTCCCCAGAACACCCTACAACGCAACTTTTAGGAAAAGCCAATGAATCAATAAGATCTTAGGACCACAGTACATAGCCACTTTTCTTCTCCTATGATGGCCAAACTGCCTGACTCTCTATATCTATCAACATCTGTTACTTTTCAAATAAATGAATGAATAAATGCCCAATATTCCCCCATCCAATGGCTTAATAATTTTTTAAAAAAAAAAATCCTTGACTACTACTTTATATTCATAATTTGTCCAAGTGCTTAAAACGTAATTCAAGACCATTTTTTTGTTTGTTTCAATGATGGGAAGTTAAAGCTGAGAATATTTTCAGTAACTCTGCCATATAATCTATTATCATAAAGGCTACAAGGCAACTGAATATAAGCAGAAGAGATATAAGCAGCACAAAGTGGTGCAAGCCAAAAACTGAAAATTAACACAAAGTCAGGCTACTCAGTCCAACCCTTATTTCAGACATATCCAAAAGCATGCAACAAGCAAAGCAAGTAAGAATAACAATAAAACAGAGAAGAACATCCTATGAAAATATACAAAGCAAAATTTAGCAGTATGCCCCAGGCAAATTAAGATTACGATGCAGCAGTAATCAAGGGAAAACAGCATTGGGATATGCATTATTATGTACACTGTGTATATGTTGTATATACAAACACTGCAACATATGAAAACATACTGCATAAGAACAGCACTGTAGCATAGGAAATAAGGCTGTGTAGGAATGCAGTAAACGCAAATACAGGTAGGCAGCAAAGACTTCCTACATGCTGACAACATGCAAGAGCTCAGTACATATAAGCATTAAACTTGGCATAACAGTATAGTTTTCATTTAGCAACCACAATTGGGAGTGGCAAGTCAGTTATTAAGTGACTGTGCTTATAATCTTATAGATAATCCTGAATTTATTACTACAATTGGGACTGGAATCTCAGTTGTTGAGTGAAGTGGTTGTTAAATGAAACACCATGACTTCACTCAATAAACTCAATCCTAGCTCTCCCAGTTGCAGTCATTAAAGGATCATGCAGGGGCGCCTCAGGAGGTAAGGGAGACCTGGGAAGTCCAGCACTTACTGGTGTGTGGAAACTGGGCATGGGTTGGGAGGCCTTGGCTGACTACAGGACTCACCAGCATGCAGAAACCTGCTTCAGGCCAGGAGAACTGTGTCTTCTACCCATCTCACCATATCCAGGTCCACTTACATTTGTCTTTTTCTGCAGCTTCTAACAGGTACACCCAGCCCATGGGAGGTGTAGCTAGAAACCTAGTGAAAACGTAGAAAGTGTTTTTCTAACCTTCACAAAGATCCCAACTGCTAGCTTTCTAGCTGAGCCTGCCTATCCACACAGCTGCAGAAAAAAGTCCAAAGTAAGTGGAGCCAGGTGTGATTGGGTCGGGAGAGGGCCCAGGCCTCCAGGGCATGGTGGGGTGGGGAGTGGGGCTGGGCTTCCCAGGCATGATGAGGTAGGAAGAAGTAGCCAGTGAGCAGGCTGAGGCCTCCAGGTACATAGTAACTTTATGCATGCTGGTGGGTGGCTGAGATGGGAAGAGATAAGCAGGTGGGGGTGAGTTGGAGCATGATTGAGTGGGGCACAAATGTTAAGTGCTCAAATTTTAATTACTTTACAATGGGGCTGTTGCAAAGGCTGTACCTTTGGACATAGGTTGTAACTCCCTTCATTCAGTGAACGAAGGGAGTTACAATCTACACCCAAAAGTACTAATGGTCATAAATCCAGGACTACCTGTACTTCAGCTCTCCTTTGCTCTACAGATCTGCAAAGGTTATAAATATGAAGTCTGACTGCGAAATTACTTTTTGATTACCATTCCATTGGGCTCTAAATGAGGACTACCTGTACAGCACTTGAAAAGATACCCAGCCACTAGAAATGACTATAAATTATAAGCATACATTGTAAGCAGCAATATGTACGAGAGTCACTTTGAAGAATGAGATGGGCAGCATATATAAATGTAATAAATAAATAAAGGTATCACACACAGTCCCACAGCAATGTATAATGCCACACCAAAGCATATGTATGCAACAATACATAGTCATTCCAAATGAAAGCAGCAGCTACTCTCCCTCCAACAACAAATACACACTTCTGCAGGCTACTTCGATCAGCCACTTTTGCTTTGACAACCAGGTTCCACCAGGGAAGTTTCGATCTGCCAAATAGATATCTTACTTTTACAATTCATGGACTTATATAAAACACTTATTTCATAGCAATAGGAATGTATTTTTATCTAGGGAGATACATTTATATAACGCTATATGCATGTAATATATGACAAAAAGAAAATATTCTTAAATGCTTGATTTTATTTAAGATATTTAAATTCTTCATGTAAGTGTATTTCAGGCAGCTCTATTTTACAATACAATTTAAAAAACCAATACAAAGGTATCATATATTCAAAACCAACTCAACAATTTAATTTAATTGGAGAAGAAACAATATGTTGGAAGAAAATTCTATTCCTACAGGGCTAGAAATGAAGAAGTCCCCTCTGTTTGAGTGAGAAAACAATTATCTCAAATAATGACCTTGTTGGGCTATAATGGTTACCTGTAATTTCAGATCAGTGGAGTTCTTGGTGCTACCTGATTTTGGTTCTTTTCAGTGCTGATGATGTTGCCTAGTTTGGTAATAAAACATCTGCAAGAAAACCATCAAGTTCAGAGAGCACCAAGGACTCCACGGTTCAACCCTGAGCTACAAATATTCTCTTCTATCAGTTTCAGATCAGCATTGTGAGAACAAATAAAAATTATGAAAACAACATTGGGCTTGCAACAACACAGCGCTACTAAATTTGTATCATTAAAAATGTGCTTACATAACTGGTTTTTCTAGTCTGCTTCCTTGTGACCCAACGATCTCTCCTAATGTACAGAACACTTGTCCCAAGAAATCCTGAAAATCACAAAAGACATTATTAGACATTATTCCATCTGCAGTACTCCATCCATATTCACTACATTTATCAGCACAGGAAATACATTACTTATGAACAATTAAGATATAAAATCATAATTAGGAATAATTAAATTAAGTCACTCTGGATCACTTCAAAAGTGAGATGGGTGATGTATAAATTTAATAAATAAATAAATAAATAAAACAAATTATGTCTGGATGCAAGAATTACAGTTTATGAGAACAGAATGACCTTAGGTAAGTCAAGAGCTCATTGTACATACTCATTGCCCTCAATACTTTTCAAATATGTATATGAAATTTGCTACAGATATTACTAATCTGAATGGAACATATTATTACACTTTATCTAAAAACAAAATTGGTACAGCTATTTTTTAAAAAAGACATATACAGTGATAAGCTTTAAACAAATACCTGCTCTAATATCTCACTTCATCCCCACCTTATAATCTTTCTTGTGAATTTCATTCCAGTTTTCATTTAGTACTGACTCCTGGAGACTGCAAGTTTTCTTGACAACATTTTTGGAAGTGGTTCGCCATTGCCTTCTTCCTACAGCTGAGAAAGGATGACTGACCTAAAGTCACCCAGATACCTTTGTGCTTAAGTTGAGACTAATTTCTACCCTGGTGCCGTGATCACTATACTCAACTGGCTCCCAGATTCCCAATTAATATAAAATATTATATGGATAAATTTGTAACATTAAATTAAAGCACTTACATGCTTTGAAAGGTTTGGACTCTTAGAATCAACATCATACCTATAAAGAAATGATAGATTTATTTCATATTTTCTATCAAAAATATTCAAGGACATACTGGAGTTGTTTACTAAAGCTAGCACAGAGAGACAATGAACAAGATAAAACCTACTATGTGAGAAACCCACTTTCCAGGTTTAGCTTAATCTTGCACTCTGGGGCTAAATCAATTACGCATCTCCAAAATGGAAAACCAGCCAACAAACAAAAAGTGATGAACAACATGTATAGCATGCATAGGAAATAAGAGGAAATCCCTGATTCTAACTGGCATTCCATTGTAATTGACAGAACATAAATAGTATAATTATGAAGGTTTTTTTGTTTTCTGATTTGTACTCCACTAAGATCATAGTATCTATTTAGGCATTGCTTCACAACTTTATTACAAAGCCCACTGGAAATTCATTAAAAAAGATATATGCTAAAAAAAACTTGGGTGGGATTAGTATCTCAAGTTTTCAGATGTTTTAGCATTTTACAAGGGATAAAATGTTGCCTTATAAATTTGTCTCTACAAATTTTATGCCACCCATTTTGCTCAGCTACCCCTCAAAAATGCCAAAACAAAAAATAAAAATTGTATTGAATTGGGAGAAAGGGCTGGTCTGACTGTGTGTAAGAGGAGTAATCACTGGCCATATACCGCCCACAGGTGGTATTTATTGCACATCTGTATTGAAAAATACTTACAGCAAAAATACATATCACTCTGAAGGGTTTGTTACATATGTCAATTACAAATCATTGTTTATTTATAAGCCACACATCTTTTCGTGACTCTAGATAGTGTACAAGTTAAAAAAATATAGATATTAAAAATCCAGGGACTAAAACACTAATGCATAGATAAAATTCTTCTCCCTCACTGGGCACCTACTATTGGAAATAGCCAGGTTTTCAAGGCTGGATTAAAGAACAGGATGCTTAGAGCAATTTGAAACTCTGGGGGAATACTGTTCCAGATGGTGGGCACTATTAAAAAGACAGCAACTACACGATTCCCTCAAATAATACTTTTAAATGTTGGTAAACAGTACTTGGGTATCGTTATCCATTTATTTCTGTTTGTTTTTCTTAAATAATCAAGCAAAACAAATTATGATGTGGCATCAAACTTACATTCTTGATTTACTATATAAACAAAGATACATGACAGCAAAACCTGGTTTATGGCTTCACATTAAAATTTGTTGTTAGTTATTCTTATTTAAATGATGTAAAAAGGAATGTGCTGCAGGCAGCATGAACTAACAGCATTCACCACAGATAATCAGAATAAATCAGGAACTGTAAGATCCTTGCATGAGAATGCAAACATTGAGAAAAGTCTCTACTGTAAGTAACATAGTAGTTTGAATTACCAATATGAACCAATATGATTGAGAATATCTTATGACAATAACTAATTCACTTTTTGTTTGTTATTTTAGATTAGCAGCAGACCTGAAACTACTTTAATGTCAACAAAAACTACTGGGATGAAAAGAGCTTTCAGGTCCAAGCAAAATCAATATGCCTAAACTGCCTTTTTAAGTTAAAAAAAAATCCAGTAAATTGTCTGCAGACAGAATGTGCTTTTGAACATTTAAAACTAAGTTTCTCCTGGGTCATATTAGCATATGTGGTGGACTTGAACAAAGGCAAAAAATTACTGGATAAAAATACATATGTGGTTGGCAAAAGAAACAACAGATTGTGGTAATATGATTTCATGTATTTATCTGCTACATTGTTCTGAGATATAAGAAATAATTTCTGCTGTTACTTAAGTTAATTCCTGATAAATTGATATATCCTGACCTGCCTGCAGCACAGGACAGTTTTTACACTGTCTTAATCTGAAAATATACTATAAAATAATGAAAACTATAATTTTAGAAAAAAAATTTCACATAAGATTTTTATTGCAGTTTGTTTTTAAATAGCAGCACTTCATTACAATTTAAACTGCTATAATAAAATATGACTTATCTAATGTAAGTAGTTTACTGACAAAATAGCTATCCATACTATTACGATAGATCAATTAACTTATATGATCAAAATCCAAGTTTATTAGTAAACTTACAAATCAAATCGCAGATTCTGTCTCTCCTCAAAAAAGTAATCCATTATAAATTTTCTTACAAAATCTGGGTTCAAAGTATTGTCAATTACTTCTGTTCTTCCAAACTATAAAAGAATATTTTAAAGAAAATACATCAGTATATAAATATCTTTCTGTATATGCACATCAAACAAAAATATCAAATAAAAAAATATGAACATATGTGAACAAATTGTGGACCAGTTTAAAGGAGATAAAGGAGGAAATGAGACACTTTAATTAAAATGAAATACTGGTACAGAAACTTTCAGTCCTTACAGAACTAAGTATTTTCAGAACTTATTTCCAAATATTATCTGATCTATGTAATATGTTAATATTATTCTTCTACTTAATACATCCAAAATTGACTACAAAGGATATAATAATAAGTCATAGTCCAATTTGCTTCAAATTATGCTTTTGTTAAATACTCAGATTTCATTAAGGAGCCATTTATCCCAGTCTGTCACTTTTTTATTATATAAGCTATGAGTAGGTAAGATTTTTGGCTCTGCAGTCACTTCAGATGTTTGGATATAGAGCATGTACACAAACAAAATCACTTCCTACACTCATATGTATAACATCATTTCCATAAATATCCTACTCTTCTTCTGGGAGACAAAAAAGTCCTTTCTTTTGTTAGCAAAATTGGAAGGATTTTCAGCCCTTATCCAGAATGAAACAGGAAAGCGAAAAGTTTCTCTTTTTTCTTTCTAGGAAAGTCTAGTCTAACAAAGAGAAGGACTAAAGATGACGTGATAGAAGTCTTTCAATATTTGTAGGGTGGTCACAGAGAATAGGAGGTCAAACTATTCTCCATAGAACCTGAGGGAGAGACAAGAAGTAATGGATGGAAGCTTATCCAAGAAAAAATTATAATACCTAGAATTAAAGAGAGATTTTCTATCAGTGAGAACAATTAATCATCGGAATGGCTTGCCTCTACTGCTTGTGGGTGGTTCATCTCTTCAGGTTTTCAAGAAGAGATTGGAAACCATTTTTCCAGAATAATATAGGATCTCCTACTTGAGCAAGACATTTGACTAGAACACCTCCAAGGTCCCTTCCAATTCTGTTATTCTGTAATTCTCCCAGCGAGTTAGTACATCTTTATTGCTAATGACAACAAAGCATTAATTTATGCTCCATTAAGTTCCCATTTCTTTCCGGTGGAAAAAATAGTACTTCTTGGCCTGTTGACCTGACTGAAGGGAGCTTTCGACTATGTGAAACTGTTATATACAATCCTTTGGGTGTTCATTTATAACATACGCCATGATCATTTTTTCTTCTGTTGTAATCTCAAAAAAGAATTGAACCTAGTATATAAAAAGGCAATGCAATGCACCAATAACTGTATCTTAAGTATGCCTGAAATACAACACATGCATGCTTGTTTCCAATTTAAAGTTTTCAAAGGCTTTTTATAAATATCAGAACCAAAATCATTATTTGATTATATTTTTATTTAATTCCGCACAATTGAAAAGAGGTAACAAACAATGAAGTATCATAACAAGTTTCTTATTTTTCATATACAACCACTTGTATCCTAGCAAGTAGTTTTACATGAAATATATATGTTCATATATATGTATATGTTCAAATATATATGTTCATATACATATTCAATGCGTATGGGACAAGAGTAAGTTTCTGCATTACTTGATTTCAGAAGAACACACAAAAAAGGACTTGACAGTACAGGTAATCCTTGAAGAACAATTGGGATCAGAATTTCTGTTGCTAACCAGAGTTGGAAGGGATCTTGTAGGTCATCTAGTCCAACCGGCCGCCCAAGCGGGAGACCCTACACCATTTCTGACAAATGGCAGTCCAATCTCTTCTTGAAAAGTCTGAAGTAATGGCACCCCCACAACTTTCGAGGGCAACTTATGTTCCATTGGTTGATTGTTCTCACTGTCAGAAAGTTTCTCCTTATTTCCAGGTTAAATCTCTCCTTGTTCAGTTTCCATCCATTATTCCTTGTCCGGCCTTCGGGAGCTTTAGAAAATAGTTTGACCGCTTCCTCCCTGTGGCAGCCCCTCAGATATTGGAAGACCGCTATCATGTCTCCCCTGGTCCTTCTCTTTACTAGACTAGCCAAGCCCAGTTCCTGCAACCATTCATTGTATGTTTTAGCTTCCAGTCCCCTCATCATCCTGGTTGCTCTTCTCTGTACTTTTTCTAGAATCTCAACATCTTTTTTATAATGTGGTGAACAAAACTGGATGCAGTACTCTAGGTGTGGTCTTACTAAGGCTTTATAGTGTGGTATTAGTACCTCACTTGATCTTGGTGGTTGTTAAGTGAGTTGCTCCTGATTTTACAATATTTTTGCCATTAAGCAAATCTGGCTTGTCCCACTTATTTTGCTTATTGGAAGCCAGCTGGGAAAGTCACGAATGTCAATCACAGTATCCCAGGATCTTGCAACCACTGTGAATATATGCCAGTTGCTAAGTGCCTGAATATTGATCACATGACCTTGAGAATGTTGCAAGAGTTGAAAGTGCGAGGAACTACCTATAACCAAATAAATGAACTGCAGATATATCAGTTTATATATATGTATGTGTATGTGTAGGCATGTGTGTGTGTAGCATATGTTTATGTGTGTTATGTATGCGTATGGGTTGATATATACTTTCCTTTGAGAATAGGCAACACAATTTCATTTTTAATGTGTGCCTGAGTGCTCACAGTAAAAAATGACAGTAAAGGTTATCTTATAACAGTTTTCTCAGTGGGCCAAAGAAACTGATATATCTGCAGTTCATGATTTGGTTACAGGTAGTCCTTAATTAACAACCATTCATTTAGTGACCATCTGAAGTTATATATGTATGTATGTATGTATGAGCTTTGTTCGGGTATTTTCCCACGTCATTATAGTTGTGCTTTTAAAGTTGTAGCAACGTTTCGGCAGAATCTCATCTGCCATCATCAGGCTTCTGTATTGTGTTCGTCTGTGAGTAAGACTTTCACAGCTGTTTCAGTTTTAAATTTGGGGCAGCCTATTGCTGTGCCAGAATGGTTTTTCCTTCATCCTGATTGGTTGGGAGTCTTGGTCTGTGTTTATTGGTCTTGGAGTTTGCTGTGTTCTGCTTGATTGGTGTTTCTAATATCTTCTGTCTGTTTTGTGGCTTTTTTTGTGTCTTGATTGGCTGGCAACATTGTGTTACCGTATTGGAGGCTTTTAGTGCAGCTTGGCTCCGAGTAAATGGACGGCTATCATTTGTTAGGAAGCCAGGTTTCATCTGGGTGCCTGGTTGGGGTGTGCTTGAGCTGGAGGTATCAGGGGGGATCTGTTTGTTCCCAGGTGTTTGCCTGGCTAGTGGTGTGGAGATTTTTTTGTTTGTGAGTGCAGGCTTCCAAATAATTGACAGTCTGATGGAATCATCTCTTCTATTCATGCTTTCAGGTCTTTTTTCAATCTCTATGGCTTCTCTGATAATTCTGACACACACACACACACACACACACATATATACACATACATATACATACACACACACACACACATATATATTTGTGTGTGTGTATACGTGTGTACAAATGTGGAATCTCACTCTCCTTTGGGGAGGAGTGAGATACAAGCTTCCAGTGATACAATAGATATTTTTATACCTTTTCTAAAGCCTACCCCAGTTCCTCCCATCCTATATTCTCATTAGTCAAGATCAGGGATGGGTAAGGGTCTGTTTTTAATAATGTCCATCATACTTGTTATTCCCCTTCTAATTCCAGGAATATACATAATACTTGACATAATCTACATCCTTTGACATTATTTATTTCTAACTTAAAACTAATCATGGTGACCCTCCAAAAAGCCCATATGACCTGTCAGAAAGTCTTATATCCCCTGCCAAAATATGTTCTTGCAAAATTGAAAACAAACATGTTTTCATGAAAATAGAAACATTTTTATATAACTCCAGCTTAGTTCATCTGAAGAGTAAATATGGAGTAGGTATTGCTATGTATTTTTAAAGGAATACTTATCTTACATATCATATTAACAAAGAGAAATACTAGGTGTGACATGATAGTTTTCTGATACTTTAGGTTTGTCACAAAGAAAAGTTCAACTTATTCTCCAAAGCACCAGAGTGCAGGACAAGAAAGTAATTGGTGGAAATTTAAAGAGCGATACAGCTTAGAACTAAGGAGAAATTTCCTGACAGTGAGAGCAATTAACCAACTAAACAGCTTGCCACCTGGAGTTGTGCAGGTTTTTAATAATAGACTGGACAACTATTTGACTGGCATTGCTTCTCCTGCCTTCCTGCTCAAGTTCGACTAGAGGACCTCCAAGGTCGCTTCCAATTCTATGATTCTATGTTCTATGGGCAGCTATTTCAAACAGCAAACCAATTGCCAGGACCACAAACTGCAGAGAGCATCATATCCTGGTGGGAATCCCGCTTAAAGTTTTGCCTGGACTCGGTAGCAGCTAGAAAAGGACCACACCACATTGCAACTAGTGCAAGAACATCTGGAACAAGGCAAAGGTTGTATGGTACTTGATAGATTTTGAGTCTTTTGTTTGAACTGAGTGTTAGAGACTGAGTATGAAGGATTCAAGACATTTACATGGCAACATCAACTTTCAAAACCTAGAAGGATAGAGTTTAACCCAAAGCAATTATTGGGGAAGTTGCATTTGTGTAGATTTGCTATGCTGGTCCTTGCCAGTTCTCGGAAAGCAAGAAATTATCATACCAATACATATTACTTTTATATGACAGTACTCAACCGCTATACATAACTTACCTCTCTCCATTCTTTATTTCCCATCCCTTGGGTGTACAAAACACAAACTGTAGAAGAGGAAAAAAAACAGGCAATCAATATAAAAAATGTATGTAAATTAACATTCCATCAGACTAATATTTAATCTGTAATATTAGGCAGATTTTAAAACTATATAACACAAATTATATTTAAGAGTTAATGAACTGAAATTAATATCTGGAATTTGAATATATATTTGTATGTGGTGTTTTGTTTATTTTTAAAAAATATATAACAGATAATTGTATTTTTTAAAAATAGGCATTTGAGTCAGAGTTAAATGTATACTAAAAACACTCAAATTTACCAGAAATATCCATTCCTGTTAATTTACACCTGACTATACAACTCACAGGCTGTATGCCTCCCCAAGGAAGAGCCCACAGAGAGAACAAAGACCCCTCCTCAGATTTCACAGAAAATAGATTTATTTTAGAAAATTCAAAGTTCAACATTTGTCCATTACACTAGGAGATAAAGGGGGGGAGGAATAATCTTTTTTTTATTTTATCCCTTCCACACCACATATGGCCAACTACAGTCAGCCATAAAAACTATTGCCAATCCCACCTTACATCACATTTTTAAAGTGTCATTTTAACTATAAAAATGTAATATATTTTATTGTACAACAGTAAAGGAAAGAGACTTAATTGGAAAACAGTGGGTATATTAATTTTAAGGCTGAGTGTAATAGAATTCATGCTTCTACTGAGATTTGTCCCTTGACAAGCTTGTCTATTTTTAACGTCTTGAATGTCATATATTAAAAATAAAAAAAATGTTTAATAGCCACTTTATCAGTTTTTGGAAACAAAAGACAAAATAGGCCCTGGAAAAACAGGCACAAAATATCTACATTTTTTTTCAAGCTTTCAGATCTCTAAACACAGCCTACTTCAAAACTGCATTCAAATAGGTGTTCAATTAATCAACATTTGGCTTTTAAATTCCTACACTAAAATCTCAATTCAACAGTACATTTGGTGGAAGGGGTATCTAAAATTATATCCTTGTAATGTACATTATTTATGCAAATGTACATTATGTACATTATTTGCATAATTATGCAATTAATTTTAATGTAATTTTTATCAATGTGTTATTTGCACAACTGCATGATTATGCAAACATACATTGAAACAAATTACATAAATTATGTCAATTGTCTGAACTGCTTTGAAAATAACACTTTGCTCACTATGTGGGGTAAAGCCTGAGATACAATTCTGCCCGTTACACCTGATGTCTCCTAAATAGAGTTTTACCTGCTTTATGAAGATATTAGATTTTTATATTCTCTTTCTAAAGCCTATCATGAAGAAGCTTTGCAAGATGCTGCTATTATTATTATTATTATTATTATTATTATTATTATTATTATTTCTCTTCTTACCTGGAAGGACAATTTGAATTAGCTGCAGAGGAAACTCATATTTTATGCAAATAGTTTAATTTTAAAAAATCTATATTCTACTTGGGTCATGAGATTCAAAACAAAATTTGAATTGGGGTTTCATTACTTTGTTCTCTGCCAATTCTTGTGAGTTTAGAAATAACGACAAGAATATTTGTTGTACAGAATAAAGTTTTGTAGATATCTTTTTTTTTTTTACAAACTTGCAAAAGAAATAGTATATCTCATTTTCACTATTCTGGAATACTACAGTATACATAAGAAAGGATCTTTAACTTTTTAGCCAGTTCCTTGAATACTCAAACTAAACAAAGAAAAGCTAAACTAGTAGCTAAAATGATGTTAGCAATATAGCGAGATATGATAAGGAAACAACGGTAAATTTACAATTTCATTTCTTCATTGTTTTATTCCAAAAGGGAAATAATACTTACTTGGATCAGATTTTGAAAATGTATCTCTATCCAAAAGGTTCCTATTAATAAAACAAAATAAAATTATATTTTTATTAAAAACATTTTACTCAAACTGCGGAGCGGAATCATGGAAACTGACGCATTGTAGGAATTGAAATACTTGAAATGTAGTGAGATCACTCAGCGCATGTATAAATGCTATGAACCAATAATTTAGAAGAGATGCCAAATAAGTAGCTGGAGATGGAAAATCAGAGCAATAGATGCCATACATTTATTTTAAACAACTTTGAAAAGACACACAGTTAGGCACTAAAGTGGTAAATGTATCTGAAATGAGGGAAGAGGCATCCTTGGGATAGAACCAGTCCCTTCAGTGAGGCTCTCCTGTTCTGTGGTAACTTGCAGCTGTGGGTGAACAGCAATTAGCAAGTTAAGTCTCCTTGCTGCCCTCCCCTTCTGTTTTGCTATAAACCTTTCTTCTTTCCACACCAGTTATGTGGGGAAGCAGGAGAGGACAGAGGGGAAAACATCTCCCAATGGGGGTCTGGCTCAATGCAAAAACAAAACAAAACAAAACCGAAACAAAAACTTTGGGAGTTAGTTCAAGCAAACTGAAATGGCTGATAGATACAAGGCAACAGATCAATCCCAGGATTGAGACAAAAATCAAGAGTATTAAAGATGTGGAAAAAGAATAAGCTTACACACTTTTTAAATACAAAGAAATTCAAATGCAATTCTAAGTGTACTTAAATGCCTTTCTGTTTTACCTAATCCCATCATCCAAGACTCTAGGCAACTCTCACAAAAGACAGCCAAAATTCCTCTGGTCAAAATTGGACAGTACACCTCTCCTTTTTTATTGGCTGTCAAAAGTCAGGTGACTTCCTCTGGGCATATTAAATTTGATTTAAAGTCCAGCTGCTGAACAGCACAGCATCCATTTATTGAAAAGTGGCAATACTTTCTGTGAAAGAACACACACGCACACACGCTTTATATTTCAGTAGATGGATGCTGTAGTCTTCAGCAGCTGGATCTTTAAATCAAATTTAATGTGCTGCCCAGAGGAATATGCCTAGATGTGCCAGATGTGCCTAGAGAGAGTCAACGGACCTTTTACGACCAATAAAAAAAGGGGGAGGTGTTCTGTCAGATTTTGATGGGAGGAATATATATATTGGTTGCTTACCTCCAGTGGATTCTGGGTGTTGCAAAAACAGCAAGAAACATTAAATCAACAGACAGACCATAGTAAAATAGTGGTCATATACCTCATCACACTTTTCTGTCAGACCAGTGGCAGAATGCTCTTTCATTGGGGGGGGGGGGGAAATAACTGGTTTCTCCCATCATGCTCAGACCAGTGAGCCTCCAATTCTCTGGCACACACACCCGGCACATCCCAGATGACTACTGGATCCAGCTTGGGATTGTCCTGGGAAACCTGCTGCACAGTCTCATCAAAGCTTTGGTGCTCATTGAAATGGGAGAGGGGCTACAGCCTTGGATCAGATTGTACTTGAGTGGTCTCTTTGTGCACATGGTTCCCAATAATCCCCATGATATACAGAAGAGCTGAAGGAACTAAAGAGGGCTAAGAGATGCCTAAAGTGCCACTGGCAAATGATGAGGAATTAAGACAACTGAACATGAACTAGAGCCACTATTAAGAGTCTATCTTATGATGGTAAGGGCAGCAAAATGTGATTATTTCTGTGTCATTAATAAATCCACAAGGATTTGTCCAGCAAGCCTATTTTGGTGACTCAGTCCTATCTCGGGGAGAGTAAAATTGGGTTCCACGTGCAGAGTCGGCGTCAGGAACATGCAGATTAAGACTCTCATATTCACTCTAGTGCAGCTTTATGGAAATGCCCATAGAGATTACCGGGGTGAAGATTTGCAAGATTATCTGGGGAGAGTTTGATTGCATTGCACCTGAGGATGTGGCCAGGGTCTCTTGTAGCTGCTAGCTCAATCACCTCCGTTAGACCTATGTCTCTTCTAGCTGGTTAAAGCTGCCAAGGGGGGGGGCACATAATTGGGTCTAGGGAATGATTAATACTCCTTGAGGGAAGGAGTGGTTCCACTTAAGGAGGCAGTAGTATGCCCTCTCCTGAAAGGACCATTACTTGACCCAATGAGTCTGGATAGCTTTCACCCAATCTCCAACCTCTCCTTTTTGTGGAAAGTTGTGAAGAAGGTGGTCACATGGCACTGCAGAGGACTCTGGACCCTACTAAGCAGATTATCTTATCACATAGATAATATGTGCACAGGTACAATGCAATCAAACTCTCCCCAGATAATTATATTATTTTAGGTCAGGTTTCAGACTGGGTTATGGGAGTGAGATGGCACTGACTGTGCTCTTAGATGACTTCTGGCGAAAGTGGGATGGGAGTAGTGTGACCATCCTTACTATTCTTGAACTCTCAACTACTTTCGATATTGTTGATGATACTATCCTACTAGACTGGTTTCAGGAGTTGGGGATGGGTGGCACTATGTTCTGCTGGCTCTCCTTCCTCAGGGACAGTTCCACTCAGTATGGAATGGGGGGAGGGAGAGATCTAGCCAACAGCACCGATTTCACGAGGCGCTTCAGGGCTCAATTTTCCTCCCTCTATTTAACACTTACATGATGCTGCTAGTGAGGTGACTGATAGTACGGGGAGAAGTATCATCAATATGCCAATAATACCGATCTTTATACTCCACCCTGGTCTGCCCTGAACAATGTCATGGATATCCCATCATAGTGTCTGGAGGCTGTAAGGGTCTCAATGTTGCAATGGGCTTCAACTTAACCCAAACAAGGTACGAGTGGCTTTGTGTTAGCCATGTAGATGGACTTGATGTCTGGCAACCCTCACAGCTATAGAACAGTGTAGTCTTTAAGGTCGGTGGACTTTTATCAAGATTAATGGGATTATAGATTGCAGTTAAAGAAAATGAAGTTGTGAAATGAAATAGTTATTGCCTGTATACAGGCTAGCATGAAGTTCAGAACCCCATACTAGGTGTTACCAGTATTATTCATCTGTCCTTTCTGAAGAGAAGGTCTTCAATTCTGGCCATAGCTTCCAGCTTAAATTCAGTGTAGTGAAGCAAGGCATAATGGCTCAGGGCAATGGAAGAAAACATAACCCTAACTGTCTAGTCAGCAATGCAATGAGTCTTAAAATTCTTAAATATATTATGGCAAGTATTAGAAATTAGTGCTGTTGTGTTTAAATTTAAAGGGCTGGGCTCAGCATATATTTATATATTGGGTGCAGATGAGCACTTGCACCATACTTTTCATGATTCTGTAAAATTATTTTTAATCTCCCATCTTTTCAAATTTTCAGAGTACCTTTCACCAGGCTTGAAGAATTATTTTTTTTCTATTTTTATCCCATAATTTCTCCAATAAATTTATGGTTGGCTTTGTGGATATTACCATTCTATTTTTTTTTTACAGCAACCTCAAACCTAGGCTTTAGGTGGTTATGACTGTGGAAGAATGAACTCGCCATCTGGAGTGAGCAGGCATTTCAGAGTTTTGGTATTACCTGGAAGCAGGAGGGTTAAAACAGCCCCAAGCTCTCCTTAACTGGTGAGTTTGTTTTATAAAAAGGTAACTGAAAGAAAGCAGGTGGCTGAGTATATCAATAAAGGAGTCAAGCCACAAAGAGAGCAGAGACTTGGGAATGAGAAACCTCCAACCCAAAAAGACAAGCAACTCAAGAGTAGTTTTCAGGTAGGAAGAGAATTGCAAGGCTGTTGCGAGGCGGAGCTGAGACACAAGGGAGGAAAGGAGCCCAATCAGAGTCCATAGCTAAATTCCACCATGTGCAGTAGCTGTAAGAACCAGCTCCAGGCTGTAATTTCTTCCTACTGGGGAGGGAAGAAAAACCCCATTCACAAGTCTATAGTGAAAAGGATTTTTGCATGCAAATGCACTGAGACTGGCTACTGGAAAATAAGATCTGAGGAAAAGGGAAGATTTAAAAAGCTAAGATTTAATATAAGCTATATTAATATATTAAGCTTTTAATATAAAAGCTAAGAGTTAATATAAGAAAACATAGTGCTACAAACATAGAAATAGGAATAGAGAAATAGAACATAGAGATAGAAATTTACAACTATTTCTATTTTTATTCAATCTATAGCTTTCTATCTCTAGATTGAATAAAAATAGAAACAGTTGTAAATGTACAGTAATAGGAAGACAGTAAAATAAGATACAAATTTAATTTTGTACGCTAAAACAATTTTTGGGGTGGGGTTGGGAAACAATGTTACTGTTGTGTTACTGTTGTGTTACTGTTCTGTATAATCTTAAAACCCTAACAAAGATACAATAAAAAGTACAGGTAGTCCTCGACTTACATCAGTTTGTTTAGTGACTGTTTGAAGTCACAAAGACACTGGGGAAAAAAATTATGATTGTATTTCACTCTTATGACCGTTGTAGCATCCCCATGGTCACAATTTAGATGCTTGGCAACTGACTGATATTTAAGATGGTTGCTGTGTCCCGGAGTCATGTCATCTGACAAGTAAAGTCGATGGGAAAGCCAAATTCATTTAACAGTCATGTTGCTAATTTAACAACTGCAGTGATTCACTTAACAACTGTGGCAAGAAAGGTCATAAGATGGGGAAAAGCTCATTTAACAACTGTCTCACTTGGCAACAGAGATTTTGGGCTCAACTGTAGTTGTAAGTCATGGAAGTGAACATCCAGGATATAATCTAATATTAAACTATAATATTTGACATTAAATTAACAGAAACATAGAAACAGAATCATAGGGCTGGAAGTGACTTTGAAGTCCTCTAATCCAGCCCCGTGTTCAAGGGACAAGACTTTAGACCATCCTGGACAAATGGATGTACAATTTTTTTCTTGAAACCCTCCAGCAATGGAGCACCCACAATTCCGGGAGATGAGCTGTCCTATTAGTCAGTTGTTCCTACTGTCAGGAAATTTCTCCTTAATTCCCGGTTGGATCTCTCTTTCCAAATTCCACCCATTACTTTTTGTTCTACCCTCAGGTGC